ACATCAATCTAAGAGCGGTTATCAATTTATGTTACGTAAGTATTGTGATTTATTACCGCAATTTACGAACGATGACAGTTGATTTTCTATCCCGTCTGTTCCCTAGGGAGCCTGCCCCGTGGTTATTCATTCGACACGGAGGAAGATTGACCATCGGGAATGGACTTAGAGAATTAATTATAATCACGTTGTATTAGAGAGTTTTGTCTTAAAAAAATGTTAGATTCAATTATAATTGACCATTATATGTAGTATTTCGCTTCTTGTAATGCTTTTTAAATATATAAGAAGCTTTTGAAAAGTGCAAAATTGTTTATGCAAAGAAAAATTCAATATTACTTGTAATAAAATTCAAACATAAAAGGAATTCTGCTTGTAAAATCATGTTATAATACACATAGATTTATTTGAAACAATAATAATTACTTCGGAACAATATTTGCCAGCTAAAAAAAATTACTGACTAAGATCTCCCAGTGATCTCCTTGCGTCATCAAAAAAAGAAAAAGTGATTTTATAAAATTATTAAAATATATCTAAACGTTCAATACAAATAAAAAACAACTAAGAAACTACATGAATAATCATTACCAAGGAAAATAACTATAAAGCATTAAACAAAATTTTCTTTACAAAGAAAATAATATACGTTTGAACAACTTCGAATCAGTTAAAACCATTTTTTCACCTCTTAAACAACCAAAAATCAATATACGGCTCGTTTCTAGTGAATAACAGAATCGTATTGATATAACAAAATTTATCGATTTTCAATAGTTTATAATAACAGTTGGACCACACAAAGGGAAACAGCCCACCCGGGACTGAACCTGTAATCTGCCTTTCTTATTAAGATATTAACTACTGCGCAAACGCAATCTTAATGGCATAGAACGAACGACGTACCAGCAAATGTTTTTATATCTAATATATGTAATTTAAAACATTTTATTCACCAATGAAATATAATAAAATAAATAAATGTTTCAAAATATTATAAAAATTAATCAATATACCACGTGCTATCATTATCAAAACAGAATAATATTAAAAAAATATTTCTTAAAATAATGATAAAAATTAATGTATGTACATTTACATGTAAACAACTTGACCATATATTGATCCATTTAATTATTGTCACGTAAAAGTGAAAACACATGAGTTCGGTGCGTATACATATATAGGTACTGTCAGTGTATGCGTCTGCGCATGCGCATGCTGCATCAATAAATCCACAGATAATAATCGCAGTGGATGCTGCGTCTAGTGGATATTACGGCCATGGGAATTACTCACGTCACTCGCTAACGTAATTTCTGCTAAACCCAAACTATTACTAAGAGCAATTAGGTTAAGATATATGTATGAAATGTTTTATTTATTTACTTATATTATTACTTTATATTACGATGGATATAGTTTTTTTTATAATAACATGTAAAAATAAATATATAAAATACGTTACCGTACTTATGTAAATGAAGTAGAAATGTACTATAACAACATATGTATGAGTTTGGTCACGAAAATAATAATTATTATAGAATTTACTTAAACTCAAATTAACTTGATGTAAAACCATGGATTATTAAAATAATGAGCTCAAAAGTATAAACAATGCATAAAAAGAATTTGTGAATGTAAATTTATGGAAACAATCCTTCATAGATTCTCCACGATTTTTCAAGAGAATTTAGTATAAATCCAGTTCAACAAGATCATCTGAATCGCAGACAATTCACTATTATTCTATCATTAATACCATAACGTTGATATCATTAAACTTATTCTTTTCCACCAGAACGCATTCAGTATAACAGTAATTGTTCATTAATCACGTCATTCCATAGTACATTTACTTGTTCAAGTAAAGCGGTGACGAGAGATCCATTCACGATACCATAAATCAGAATCAATAATCAACTATAATCGATAATCGATGCCCGTGTAGACAATCGATTTATAATCGAATCAAATTATCTTTTATGCTAGTCGCATAGAAAGAACTAAAATCAGATATTGAATTATTACGTGTACTTTACCGGTATTAATGTTAAAAGATACAATATATACAAAGATATACCTAAGTTTTAAAGACTTATTCGAATGAATATCTTATTTACTACTAGCTTTCCGCCCGCAGCTTCGCCGCGTGGAGTTCGGTTATATCGCGTTTCCAAGAGAACCTTTCAAAAGTCTGGGATAAAAACTATCCTATGTTCTTTCTCAAGGTCAACTCTATCTCTGTACCGAATTTCATTAAAATCAGTTCAGTGGTTTAGGCGTGAAAGCGTAGCAGACAGACAGACAGACAGACAGACAGAGTTACTTTCGCATTTATAATATTAGTAGGGATACAATAATACACTAATGATCTATTACTATATGCTTAGTATAAGTTTCTTTAATCACATAACATAAAAAGCTTGTCCAGTTATTCAATAACCTACGTTAATTCTATAATATGCAAAGATTTATTACTTACTACTTAGGATAAGCATACTTATACTCCCTTTCAACCAAGTAATTTCTATTGAATAAGAATTCCGTTTTAATGTTTCATCAAGTATCAAATTGAAAATACATTAAATATTTTTTTATAAATCATTAATAAAATAAAATAAAGTATCTATTCAATTAATAAATGGTATAAATCAAAGATTTAATTTTAGTTTTCTATACGTAATTTTATCATTAATTACGATAGATTTATTCAAAACCCATAATTCATAAACGTAAAAGATTTACCGAATCCTTGTTATCAAGTGTTAATGTTACAAATGGGTGTAGGTCTACCATCTCGGGTAATTAATTAATCTTTATAAATATCCCTCCTTCCAAAGTCACCGTTTCTTTTTAGTTGTTATCTATTATAATTATACACTTCTAATTATTGTATTGGAATGTGGTCGTTTTTTGGTCTTTTTGTTTTACACCAATACATTTTACCGGTTATTTTGAACGGAATCTATAATTTCATCGGAAAAAATAAAGTAAGTAGCTATTTAAAACAATTTGTTTTAAAAATAGTATATTGAAATTGTAAATAATTTAGTACAACGAAAGAAACTAAGAATAAAAGAGCTCGCAAATTATTTTGCAGTTTAAATTAAATATAATCATTTTGGAAAAGTATGTAAGGCACTCTTTTTATTGTAATTTTGAGGTAAATCATATAAAAAAGTATAGTTACTTCTTATAGTTCTATATAATCCTCAAATGTTTTCTTGAAGATATGAATTCATAATTCTTTTCTCAGACCGAAAACCGTGAATATCAAGATGAATAAATAAAAATAAAGAAGAAGAACTATTAAAGAATTTAATATCTAACCCTGCTTTAATGCAAACGATAGTTAGAGACTCCAATTTCCCAACTAATATATTTATATAATAATATAATAATATGGAGAGATCTTTTGTATTAAAAATTAACAATCTTTTTAAGTGACATCTATTGGCTAGTCGTCAATACGTAAAGGACATGTTGACAGTTGATGGAGTTGTATAAATAATTGATAAGTCAAACGGTCAGAAGATGGCGCTTATCACTGAACTTGGTATCATCAGATAGCATTTAATATATACTAAAATGAAAAGTTAATATTTTAATATGATAAGAAAACCCAAAGTGTATAAATACACAACACATATGCTTTAGGCATAAAAACAATTGAAAAATATGAGTTAATTCATCTAAAAATTCAATTAAGTAAAAAGATAATGTAAGGCTAATTCCAATATATTCACATTTTTAATAAATAAATAATTTCAAATGATAACATTGGTGTTTCAAATGATAACACTAGTATTAGGTTTGATACTTTCAGTCTTTTGGTTTATTTGAGCTCCTTGACTATATAAACAAAATATTGCTAAGATTTTTTTTGGTACCTGTACCTATTATATATGTCCAAGTTTCTGCTTGTACGCGTCAGTGTTGTGACCAGCAAATCCGGTTTCAAAGTGATCCTCTTGGTAATAAAAAAGTATTATATATCATAATTCATACTAAAAGTTACTTAACAATTGAAATTACTCTAAAGTAAATTATTCGCCCTTAATTATAAAGAATACTCAGTATAAATAACTAAATTTACTTTTTCTAAAAATATTAATAAGAAATCAGAGAAACAGTGAGAAAAGGAATTTCATATCGATCGATCTCCGACGTAAAAAGACGTAAATTTTACGTCAATGTATGTAAGTATATAGCTCGAAAATAGATCGGCTGATTTCGACGTGTTATTTGTTAAAATATCAAAGCCAATTTGCATTGTCCTGGATCTTAGCTTTTTGGTTAATATAGACCCAACGGAGTAAGATTATCAACTCTTTTCCTAAATGATGAAATATATTTTATTACTCTCCTTAACACACTAAATATTATTACTCTTAAGTACTTCACTCTTTCCAGTATCTGTATATGCCTGTCACTGGAAAATAATAGACTCTTAAAAAGTTTAAAAATTCAAACAACAATTTTCTTATTGCAACCAGTCAAAATTAATAGATACGTAGTTATTTAGTAATATTTAAAAAAATAAGTGTTAAATCGTAACACATCAAACAATATATACATAGGTATATAGTGTATTTACTAATCATATTCTTAATCATTATCAATATAGTAAAAAACTAAAAAGAGCCTGACATGATCCTATGAAACTCTAAGTATGTATATATAAATAATCTTGATCTACAAAAAACGTTTTTAGGTCAAATCGAAATTCGCTACACATGGTTTATTGAAATAAATAGTATTTCGGTACAAATTTCATAGAGATAACTTTAATCAGCATCATGTTTCGCTAACACATTACGCAAGATCGTAATCTCAAAACTGTCAATCCAATTACGATAGCTGAATTGAATATCGTCTCCCTTTTATCTTAGATGACTGTAGCGTATGGAATTCTTATTTTGTATAAGATCGTATATGGGTTTGGTAGAACGTGTGTTTAAATTGGTGACCGTAGTTTGAGGTGATTCTGAAACATGGATAAACCTAGCACTAGCCGTCAATCGATTGATAAGGTGGAAATATTTGAAGTCCGCGAACATGTGCCATATCAAGCAGAAGTTACAAGAGCACCGGTGGCATATGATGAAGAAAGTGGTGACACTTATAACAGTTCTTCCTGGAGTTCAGCTTGGAGAGCCATTTGCCAGCTGGTCAATCTTCTTCATCACATGCAGATAGCCATTGTAGTGTTCTGCTTATGGCGTTTTGCGTTAACCTCCCAGCCAAATGGATCGATCACGAATTTGCAACTTCATATTGTTTTTGCGGGGACCGGTGTATGTATAAGTGATTTGAAATTCACTAACGGAAACTTTTGATACAGATATTAAAATTATTGATTGAGAACTACATATAAATTTGTATAAATATGATATCTTTGATGTAGGTAGTTCAACGTTTTAAGTTTATCAACATCTTCTTTGGACGAATTTTGTACATTTGTAAACTTTAAACTTAATGATATCTCCATTTTTATTTCGTTTAATATAAAAAAATAACAAAACAAATAAGTGTCCTTACAGAATTCTTCAAAATTGATACTTTATATGGGTACAATAAATTTTGAAGATATTATATGCTTTAATTATTTTTATTAAAAAGGAGTAACTTCTGACGAAAACCTTCAATATGATAAGTAATGTTTTATGGCATTTTTTACATACAATACATAAAAATCGTTTCCATTCCAGTACCAACTATTCCTGGTCGAATCTGTGCTCACATTGCACAGACACAACTCCTGGTCATTTCAGTTGCGTCAGGACAGTAAAAGGATAATTCACGGCTGTCTCCAGCTAGTTGGTTCGCTTTTCGTCATGGCGGGAACGTTTCTAGCATTATCAGAAGTTAAAATGGTGATCAACACAGCCCATGGAATTTGCGGTAAGAAAATTATTGCGTTATCGAGATTATACACTTGTCTGGCTAAGAATTTTGATACTGAAGATAAAGATATCGGAAGATCCAATTCTAAATGCTATACGCAATTTTGGCATTTAACTACAATATTAAAAACACTTAATATAAGTATTTCTTGTCTAAAGTATATAAGCACTTCTTGTCATATTTCTAATGTCCCAAAAATAACATATTTATTAAGGCGTATATAACAAAAAGTACAAGAACTAAATATTTTTTTTAATTACAGGAGTCATCGCTCTAACATTTACCCTCATAAGCTTCGTGTCTGGGATTCTAGCATTGTTTTCGTCAAAAATACGATTAATGGTAAAAAGTGGTCCTGTCAAAATTCTTCATATAGCTGTGGGACTGTTTGCAGTAACTATGGGTCTTGTCACTATGATTATGGGCTTCAATATGGCTTACTTCAGCGCTACGCAAGGAGACCTGGCCACAGCTTTGATGGTTTTCGTTTGTATTATTCTAATTTACGTGATAGTTCAGCCTATTCTTGATTTGATATCAACAGCGAGGAACACCTTGTGACTAGTTCATGTAGCAGATTCTGTTGATGGAGATAGCAATGCTTAAGAACGTAATGATACGAAAAATATAATTATTTTATCCCAATATAATGTATGAAGTAAAATAGGGTTAAGTTTTCCAGAGCCTAATTTTTATTTTTTATTTAGTATTATATAAAATGTAAGTACGTGTTAGCGATGCCTGTCGTATTTGATTGAAAGCAAAATTAATTTATTTAAACATGACAACTTTAATACATAACTCAATAAGTTATGTTTTTAAAGTTTACAAATTCTGTGTGGAGTAATTAGGTACACTATTTTAAAGTTTTTCATCTGGATAAAAGAAAGTGAATCTGATTTGTAAATGAACAATCTTTAATAAATCAGTTTTGGACGGCAATAGGTTAGGACTTGTATTGTTATTGTAATAATAATATTAAGTAGGTGTAGGTAAGTGTCCTAATATGCTATAAGTATGGTTGATTTTTCGTAATAAAATTTATTTATTAATCTGTGGTTTTATTTATTTGGCGGTTAATCGTGACAATTAAATAAACTAATGTTTGTAACTAATCGTGACAACTAAATAATTTAGTTAAAATAAAAATTTTGCATGTTACAAAATGTATATAAAATGTTGATGATTTTTTAGTATATAAAATTTTTCTTTATTTTAGTCCTTATAGAAATTTTGAAACCATCAACATCATTCAACAAATAATATAGTTTGCTTTGTTGATAGTTAATTAATAAAAATATTGAGTTAGATTACTTATACCTCCTTATACCTTTTGAAAGTTGCCCCTTTTACCTTAATTTAAATAAACTTCCTACTTTTAAGGAGTCCCATAAGGAATATCAGAAAATAAACACTTAAACATTCTGCAGACATCCAGAGCGGCAAGCCAAAACGTTAAAAATCGTTGGCGGTAGATGATAAACAACAAGACCAACTGACAAATATTTTCATTTCGTCTGTCCGTGATCACGGTTGCTGCAAAATGTTTGAGCTGTAGTAACTGACCACAGCTAAGCTTTACCACCAAAAAATGAACCGAACTTCGGGAGTAGGTATGTAGTTTTAAAATAATCCAAAAATATTAATTATATTTAAACATAAGAAATGTTGCGGATGTATTGCTAGCGTTGGTTGTTGAGGAAGATGGAAAGGGTTAGAAAAGGAAGATCTTCTGTGGGAGAGTGGGTATTTCCCCGGTCGAGCTAGCCCATGTTAGAGCTGTACTAATTTGACCACAGCTAGATCATCTGCCTAGGCATCTGCCTACCATCTTTAATCGTAAAATATAGTTTAATTAAAATAAATATTTCTTTTTCCTATTTATAATCACTATCAAATGAGAAACGTAAAATTTTAAATATGTACTATAAAAACTTTTATGGTTTTGCCGTTTCATATGGAAGGTTATGAAGTTGGAAAAATATTTAAATAATAATAAATCTCGTAAGATATATCACACTCTTGCTTGTTATAACTTAAATAAAAATTTATAAATCCTTTTCATCCAAAAAGATTTTTTTAATCAGTGTTTAGTTTCAATTGTTTCTGAGTTTCTTTTTGTACAATTATCCAAACGCAACATGATATTGAAAAGTATACTGTCATGGTGCTGTCATTATCCGGCAAAGCGAAGCTGTTTTTACGAACATATTAAAATTGATCTGATTACAAAGTGTATCAATTATTCTTAATATCTATCAACAAACATGGTGAGTTACATTTCAATGTATTAATTAATTGTCAAACATATATCTTTAATTAATTAATTTAGTGTGGTCAGTTACTTATTGCATTGTCATTCAAACTCAAAATTGAAATAATTTACTCTTTTTAGGCTCGTCGTTATGATACGAGAACTACAATCTTTTCGCCGGAAGGTGAGTTTAGGAAATTTTGACTAATTATTACGATCATTTATTGTAAAACTACATTTCCATACATAATTTTTTTCTCCCATTTACAGGTAGATTATACCAAGTTGAATATGCCATGGAAGCTATCAGCCATGCTGGAACTTCACTCGGTATTTTAGCCACTGATGGAATTCTGTTAGCAGCAGAAAGAAGAAACACAAATAAACTTCTAGATGAAGTGTTCTTTTCTGAAAAAATTTATAAACTGAATGATGACATGGTCTGCTCTGTCGCCGGTATCACTTCTGACGCGAATGTCCTAACTAATGAACTGCGTCTGATTGCTCAGAGATATCTCTTGCAATACGGTGAATCTATACCATGTGAGCAATTGGTTTCATGGCTCTGTGATGTTAAACAAGCATACACACAGTATGGAGGTAAATTAACAAAATATAATATTATTTACATCATAATAAGTCCCTAAAATATAAGGTTATTGTTATTGTCTGTAATTTTATATGGATGTAGTCTAAATTACTATTGAATGTGCTTATAAATATTCATAAATAAATATATTTGTTTATAGGTAAAAGACCATTTGGTGTATCAATCTTATATATGGGTTGGGACAAGCACTATGGTTATCAACTATACCAGTCTGATCCCAGCGGCAACTATGGAGGGTGGAAGGCCACTTGTATCGGCAATAATAGTGCTGTGAGTTATACAGAAGCATAATTATACTATACACATATGTATATACATATGTATTATTTTACTCTAAAGATAGTGCTATGAAAATATGTGTAACACATAAGTATTAAAAGTAGTGTGTCAATAAGTCTATTAAAACCAAAATATAGGTATAGAAACTCTTATAAAAATTACAATTAAATTAGTTTATAAAATCAATTCTTTATTTATCCAGGCTGCTGTATCAAGTCTTAAGCAGGAATATAAGGAAAATGAAACAACTCTGGCTGAAGCTCAGGCTCTAGCTATTAAAGTTCTCAGCAAGACATTGGACATGACAAAACTATCGCCAGAAAAAGGTAAAATTAAGTGAAAACTATCATTTTATTCAGGCGTGTCCAAACTTGATGCGACCCAGGGCAAATAAAACTGACTAAAAAAATTATGTTCCGCAATTTTAACAGCCCTGATTTAATATATATGTAATAGTTTGTGCCCATGAGTTCATACATGAGAATTTTAGAATTCAGTGGAGTAACTTGTATAAAGTATGGTAATACAATATATATTATGTTTACCGACATGTAGCAACATCTAAAGTCTCTTTCACATGATTTCATACTTATTATAACTGCTCTGTAGTTGAGAGAGAACACAGAGTTCTAGAAGTAATTACAGCCTATATCTTACTTTGATATTTTATCTTCATTATGGTGAAGTTCCAACAAAATCTGTGTTGTAGTTTGCTCATGAAAGGGCAATAAATATCCATACATCCTCCCAAAATTTTTGCATTTATTATGTTAATATTCTATTATTATTCTGAACATTCTTTAGTTTATAAGTTTTTATGAATAAGCTACTTTTGTGCTATCAACTAACAATTTACACTAGATACTATGAGCAAAGCAATTTTTTTTGTCACTTTTATATTTGTATACAACATTAAAATACTATTTTGATTTTCATACATCGAATAAGAAGTTTTGCAACTACATTAATCCCTCATATTTTTCTGTTTATCAAAAATTTTATATCTGTCTTGATTTTCAGTTGAAATGGCTACACTTACGCGCAAAGACAATAAAACGATAATAAGAATTCTTACAAGTGCTGAAGTTGAAAAACTCATTCAGGACTTTGAGAAGAGTGAAGCCGAAGCCGAAGCTGCCAAGAAACAGCCTCCAAAGTCGTAATTTTGTACTGCTCTTATTACTTTATTTGCACATTAAATATTTTACATCTTAATTTGTATTCTTTGTGTTGATATTTCTCCCTAATACTGGTAAAATACATGCATATGTAATATTGGTTGAAATTGGAGTTGTAGTACCATTCTTCATAAATAGAACCAAGATTAATAATGTAGTTGTTCTTATTATTCTATTTATCTATATTAATAAAGAGGAAAGATTTGTTTGTTTGTTTATTTGTAATGAGTAGGCTCCGAAACTACTGGACCGATTTCAAAAATTCTTTCATCTTTGGAAAGCTACATTATTCCCGAGTAATATAGGCTATATTATATTTTTTTTTAATTAGGGATCCTTATTAAAAGTCCAATAACGTAACAAAAGATGTAAAAAAATGACCTGAAAAATTCCCTACGTCGCGTGCGCTGCGAAAAGTATTGATGATAGAACAAAATCATTTACTACAACTTTGCAGAGCTCATCATTATCTACAAAAAGTTTTAGCGTTTTTGAAATTTCGACCAGTGAGGGGGTGAAATAAGGGTTGAAAGTTTGTATGGGATTTCTTAATTTTAGAAGATAAAACAATGAAACTTTATTTTTTAGCACTTGATAGGATATATTTAAACATTTGTTGGAGCGTTTTTGAAATTTCGACCAGTGAGGGGGTGAAATAAGGTTGAAAGTTTATATGGGATTTTGTCATTTTTGGGGATAAAAACATGAAACTTTATATTTAGGAACTTGATAAGAAATTAAAAAAAACAGATTGTTCTAGCGTTTTTGAAATTTAAAATCCTTTTTTATTTTTACCACCGTGCGGGTGAAATTCTACACACGAAATTCCTGAAATTCGAACGGAACGGGAACTACGAAGCTAAACATACAGCATACTATACATTAAGTATACAAAAAGCCCTTCCCATGAAAGTCGTTGTTATGCAGTAAAACTAATTAATTAATTAAGTCTTATAAATTAGCTTTCTTTTCTATATTTCATTAATTTTTGCAAACCATAATATATATTAAAAGGCATTAAAGTTTACTCATGTTCAAGGGTGTTATTTTGGCCCAGTACATTACTACAATTCAACGCCACATTACTTGAAAGTTTTACTAATATTATAAATGTGAAAGTAACTCTGTCTGTCTGTCTGGTACGCTTTCACGCCTAAACCACTGAACTGATTTTAATGAAATAGAGTTGACCTTGAGAAAGAACTTAGGATAGTTTTTATCTTAGACTTTTGAAAGGTTCTCTTGGAAACGCGATATAACCGAACTCCATGCGGGCGAGGCCGCGGGTGGAAAGCTAGTTCTTAATAATTAAAAAAACTTATTGGATTTCAAAATAATATTAACTTTTATTATATTCAACAAGTACAGTAGGTGAGTGTTATAAATTTACCATATAAAATATATATAATACTAATAAATACTGTAACAGATATAAATAACTATTATAAATAAAGAAACGAAGTGGCAAGTCAGTATCTTAGTACAACGGCAACATTTAATATTCAATTATCACTACTGGTTGTGGCAACATCAAAGTTCAGACTATTGACTTAAGCGCTTAGTGTTTGTCATTTGTCAAATCTGTCGTTTTCAATTGATTAAACGTACACGAAACAAAATTGATAACATTTTGTTGGTAAATTTAACGTATCAGTTTTGTTGAAATAAAACCATAATTTAAAGCTACGTCAAAATATTAAAAAATGGCAGTGCAGCAAGAAAAGCAGAACAATGTTACTGTCGCAAAAAAATCTAGACTAGAGATGAATATTCGACAACTTCTAAATAAATGTGAATTAATTGCCAAACAAGAACCTATCGATAGTAACTGCAGGCTCAAGCACTACGTAGAGTCATTAAATGAAATGTTAACTGAAATAAAAACAAGCCCAGAGTAAGTTAAACATTGATTCAGATATATTAGTATAAGTATTAGAGAAATTGTGTAAAAATATATTTTTTTTATCTACAGTAAGCCACCGAAAGATCTTTTGGCTGAATACTCAAAGAGAGCAGCCTTTTTAAAAGGACTTATTCAAACGGCTTCACTAAACAGTCCTATAGAAAAGGTAAAAGTTCATAAGCACAAGATTCTGTCATTATTTACTTGAAAGTGATTAAAAACATTGACTATAAATTTTGTCTTTTCTCATTATTCCTTTGATACATGTAGGTATAATATGTCATAGGAATGCCTATAATTTTTTTGCTATTTTAACTTACCCAAAATATAATAAGAATGATCTGAAATGTTAACTAACTTGTGACATATGGTGTGAATTTCAAGGTTTATATTGTGGCAACAGTATGACTCTAAATTCAGCAGTTTCTGATTATGGAGTCTAATTATTAATGTAAAATATTTTGAGTACTTAATCTTTACAATTTTAAAGCTAGAAGCGGTTCAGCAGCTTTCTCATGGAGCAGCAACAATGTCCACAGACAGTCCGGCACAAGAAATACATCAGAAAACTGTTGCTAAATATGGAGTTGAATTGAGATCAGAACTCTTTGGTCTTGGTGAGAAAATCATAACTTTAGAATGTATATAGACATTTTTATTTCAAAGTAAATTACTATAGAAATGATTTAAATAGTAAATAATCAATTTTGTTAAAATAGATTTACTTTTTCCAGTCTTTCATTCTTAGTCTATTACTTTGTATCAGCTATTGCATCACTAATTGACACATTCTACACCAAATCACATTTTATGCTTATTATTTTTTTGTAATATAACAATACTTTTGTTTTGTAGAAGACAACAATGACACACTGAGACAGCGTAATATAATAAAAGCAGCTAATTTCACCAGCAACAGCACAAGTCAGGAGGACATTGATTCTTTACTGAAATATCACCAGAATATGCAGGAGAAAGTTGCCGAAAACATGGTCATGCTTACAAAAAGTTTAAAGGAACAATCTCAAATCGCCAGCACTATTATTAAAGCTGACACAGAGGTAAATAATATAAAAATTAGTTCAAATTTTTTAATTATTTTATATTAAGACTTTTTTGTCAGCCTTAAGGTAGAGACCAAAAATTTATATGATAAAAAATTTAAACTAATGTTGCCAAATAAAAAAATATCTAATATTAATATATTTATCCTGTTTATAAATTTTCAAATATCTATATATTTACCCCTGAATATTATGTCAATTATCTGCTAGTATTACATGTAGTTCAAATATTCTTAAATTATAATTTGAAATAACATTTTTCTAATGTACATTCTAATAAACTGGTTTTCTTTTCATTTTAATGTACAAATCAAATATTGTATTTAACTATATAAATTGTATATATACTATATTCTGATTCCTTATTTTGACTACCTTTGAAATACATTACAGGCTCTGAAGAAATCCTCGGATTTAACAGACAGGAACCTGTCCTCACTGAAGGTAGAATCAGATCGGCTTCAGGAACACAGTCGGAGTGCTTGGAAATGTTGGTTGTGGATTATGCTTGCCGTTGTTATGGTCATATTCATCAGTAAGTATTAGTGAAACTAATATTTTTCGGATATACTACGCGACTTTACGCTATGAGAGAGTAACTTGGACAGTGGAGGTGAGTGTTTAACGCGCTTTAGATAACCCCTTAAACCTACACCTGGCTCGCAAGTCCCAGGCACTGTTGAAGCTCCTCTCCCTGCAACGCGATGGACCCGGCACCCACAAGGTGAATCCATTGTATGTCAAGAGGTTTCGTCTTGTAAAAACTACTTACATGTGTTTCGGCTACTTTACAGAAACCATGATCACAGGAAGACAAGATGTGAATGTATCAGTACAATAATGAATGTTGTGATACACTATGAAATTAGTCATATTTTTTCATATTTATTTTATTGGAAATTTTAACTTTATAATACAGTAATTTAGCATTTTTTCTACCATATAAATGAATGTGCTTAAATTTTTTGGTTACTATACAGGAGTACGAATAAGTTTCCACCGTTTTTTAACAAAATTTAAATATTTATTATAGAAGAACGGTTATATGAATTTATTTAAAATACATATTATTACCCATCACTTGCAACCACTTTTTCCCATCTCTATGGCAGTATTCGAATCCCACGTCAGAAGAACTCCTTGTCTTTTGAGGCGGTTCTCAATCTCATCAATTGTGTTCGATAGAGGGCTCCAGTAATTGTTTCGCTCGGATTAAGCAACTCATATTACACTACGCCTAACTAATCCCACCAAATAAACGGCATAAATTTTCTTCCCTGAATATTCGGTTTTGCTGTTATGTTGACGCGAGGCAAGGTAATCCCCATGATTTTCTTCTTTTTGGACTGTCATAATGTATCCACTTGTCATCACCAGTTGCGATATGATGTAAAAAACTTTTTTTTGTGTCTAGCTAGCAGCATTTCACTTAAGCATAATCGACGTTCAAAACCTCTCGGCTTTAATTCGTACGGAACCCAATTTCCTTGTTTATGAATCATTCCTAATGATTTTAAAAGGTGTGAGACTGCTTGCTGAGTGAATTTTAATGTTAGAACAAGCTCTATGATTGAGATGAATCTTCCTCCAATAATTCCTCTAACTCTGCATCCTCTTAAATTTTTGGCCTTCCACTGCGATCTTTGTCTTCTACGTCGAACTCACCGTTATTAAACTTTTAAAACCACTTTCGACACGTTCTTCCCCTCAAAGTAACCTCACTATATGCTTCTACGAGTAATTGATGCACCTCAGCAGCAGATTTCTTTAAATTAAAGAAGTAAACTAATATTTCCCGCAAATGACGTTTACTTGGTTCAAATTTTGACATGTTCAACTTATAAAGATTATATTTTACCAATATAAAATCAATAATATTAATAGGTTATGTTGTTCTTGAATGTCCAAACTATTTTTTAAGCCTGTTATCATCTGAGAAAAATAACCGAAACTCTGTGCCGCGCCATCTAGAATAAAACGGCGGAAACTTATTTGTACCCCTAATATTTCCTTACATTATATAAATAACTTTGATTTTATTTTCAGACATGGTGCTGTTCATGAAAGTGATGAAGAAGCGAAAGTATTGAAGAGCTTAATGATTAAAAGTTTCTTCTTAAGTTACCATAATTATTTCTACATTAAATGTATATTTTATTTATTATCATCATAAGAGTTAAACTAAATAAACATTATATGACAATCTCTTCTACTCTTTTTTTTCAAACGAAATAATAACCAACCATTGAAGTTTATATATATTTTTATTTTTCTACCAACTTGCTAGAAGCTACAACCGCCTCAGTACAACTAAGTCGGAACAATCTTAAATACATACAGCATTGGTCCTTATAATTTTATTCAAGCATATTTACTTATAACATGTAATTATTAACAAAAATAAAATTGTTATATCTTAAGTCGAATTACAATACGATACGATTCTTCGTAATGTAATTAAAACAACCTTAGAAAAACAAATTATTCTCTTTTCATTGATTTTCGGTACTACTTCAAATTATAACTCGATTAGGATCACAAAGATCTTTATGTATTTTTTTTATTATATGTAACGTGCTATTATTAATTACCTGCTACAATCATTGCTATCATGTGTTTGACAGGTGTCTAAATAGTTATGTGCGTGTTTTAACGGCCTTAAACATATAATTATTTATATTTTCTATAACAAGATTATATGATTTTCTATGTTAAGTCTGAAATCTAAATAAATAATATGTCACAAATGCAACTATGACTTTAGCCTCAAACAGAATTGTAACATATTTAGTATTTTTTAAAAACAGGCATATTTTATACAGATTAAAAATAATTAATGTTGATAATTAATGTTGATAATTAAAGGTTAAAAAATAATTTGTATATTTATATGTATATAACAAATAACAGAAACGATTTGTAGCTTTTTACCAATATTTGGGAACTTTGATTACTTTAGTATTGCTTTTCTGTACCGCCATAATATATTATGTAAACATTTAAATTGTACATAAACTGTTAATTCATAATTATAAAAATTCAAACTACAGGAAGGAAGTCGGTGCCATAGTTAATATACCTACAAGTTAAATGTAGAATGTTATTGTCGCAATCTAAAATACTTTCTAGATTTCTACGACGAAAAAGGTTAGTTACTTAAACGTAGGTACTAGGTACCTTAGGCTACTATAGGCTCGAATGAATAAATAGAAACAAGACTAATTAACACCTCCCATCCATTTATCAAAATGTAAATCATCCACTAATTTAAATAGCATTATTATATTACTCCAATAATTATTTCGTGACGGGTTACGTATATAGTTATATCGAAACAGTATTTAATTTTAAATATAGTGTAAATGCGAATCATATCCGCAGAAGCATTGTCTATTAAGCATTTTTTCTAAAATACTTTTTATTTCTTGTCAAAGACATCGGTTAATTCAAATTTCCAGATTTTATTAGGTCCAATTTCCGTTACGTAAAGATGGGAACCGTTTCTTGTCACCGCCAGAGAATGTGGATTAGTAAAACTCTGGAAGGAAAAATATATTAAATGTAACATAGTTCAGTTTCCGAATATTGAAACAGTGGTAATATTTGTAAAAACTATTGTTAAATACATTATACCTTCTATAAGTGTATTTGAATTATTTTAATACTTACAGCGCTTGGTTCCCAAGTGTCCAATATATTTCCATAAACAGCATTTACAGTAAAACCCCGTACAGCGATGTTTTGAGAGGTCGGACCATTAACAGCATAAATCATATCATTATGAGAAGCCACGGCAAAAACACGTCCAAGAGTGGGATCCTCAATTACAGTCGCCGCTTCAAACATATTCACATAGCTCTTCAACCCAGCTTTGGGGCATACAATTCTCATATTCTCTCTGTCAGCCACACAAACTATATCCAGGCTCTCCAACAATGTGACACTGTGTGGCACATTTAAGGTCAGGGTGTCGGAGAATGTGGGCATCGCGAATAGTAATGTTCCAGCGGCATTGAATTTTAGAATCTGATTGTTGCAATAACCATCAGCAACAAAGATTTCTCCTGTTGTAGCGACAGCTACTGACGTCGGCATACATAATAAAACCCTTCGTCTATACGGGTAGCCAGCAGTAAAGGCCTCTCCGATAGTAAGGCTTGGATATTTGTGATTGTTCGGTGTATACTGCAATTTATATATATCAAAATTAAATTAAGTCCTTGTAAACTAATAGACCAATGCATAACTTATGATATAATAGGATCCTAACCTTGAAAACTTGATGTTTTGCCACATCAGTTACCCAAACGTTGTCATGATGATCCACAGTCAAACCATGGGGCATATAAAAAGCATATGCCCCCCAACTATGAAGCACAGAGCCGGTGTGAGGGTCAAGTACTAATATGGTATCTTCAATAATGGGGCCTTTATCGAGATTCTGATACACATTCGATTCATTGAAAGTACTGAAATCATATTATCAAAATATTAATAAATCAAACGAAATAAAAGATATTCTTATGTTTTCAAAATAAGACATTGGGTACTAAAATATTTTTTACGTTCGCTTGTACCAATAATTTTTGATTAATATGTCGTTTCATGTTTGTGCTTTAAAAGGAAGTATACACGAGTTATGTCAAAAGAAAGTGCTAGTATACCTAACATGCAAATGTTTATTAGTTTGTATCAGTAAGGTACCTTTCATCCCACACTCTTTCGGCTCGGTGGAAGATTACGGGCTGTCCCAAAGAATTTATTGAGACAGCAGTTATTTGTCCCACATTCAGAGACTGTTGTGGCCAGTCTTTAACTTCTTGCGGTCTTAACACAATTTCGTCTTTTGGCTGCGATAAAAAGATTATTTAAATTGGAGACAAAGTGCACTATGTCATTTTATTATTGCAAAATTTCTCACCGCGTGTAGGTCCAGATTTTTTAAAACATTTTCTTCATTACCGTAACTGAAGTAATCGGAGTTGTCTCTAACGGTTTCCGGCTCACATTTAATTCCGTGAAAAGTGAAATACAACAATATTAGAGGCCACATTTTTAACAGACTTGTTATAATTTGTACGAGTAATTCGTTTTGCTGTTCCGGCGATTGTATTGATTGCTGCCTTTTTAGATAAGTGGGGTATTAGTACGCATGCGCTTTTCAGCAATGGATTTTCTTTTTATGAAACATGATCTGAATTCAAGGTCGCCGTAGAATAAAGAACCATGAAAATAAAACCACACATAAATAACCACACCTTTATTAAAAATTCAACAAAATTGGTCTTAAGAAACGTAAATGTACACGTCTCATTTGGGATTGGATCAAGGCGTCTTAGGCTAAATACGAAAATAGAAGCCGAAATTTAATTTCATTTTCTACTAAATCAGTCTCAGGTGTTCGTTAGATTTTAGCACATTCGAAGTTGGGTAAGGCATTTGCTGGGAGAACTTAATCAAATTAATTAATACGTATTCATTGACCCCTCCATTGTGAAGCCGGTTGGTCCCATATATAACCAGTTTCTGTCATGGAGCAGACAGCATTGTAATATCGCCCCGGACTTCGGCAGTAAGACCACGAAGGACACTTGCATCTAAATAATGTTTGGAACTCCTCCTTGCATACTTCATTCCACCAACACGTTCTCTGCGATTAAATAAAAAAAACACCAAATTTATTTATATTCAAATTGTACACATATTACAATTTTTTCTACCGATTTTTGTTACAATAAACATGATTACAAAAAAAATTAAATACGACAACATAACCTAGAAATAAAATAATGAAGTATTATACAAACGAGTATTGCTTAACTATTATATACAAAATGGTGATAAATATAATAAAAAAATCGTACCTCTGTAACATATTCTTTCACAGAACGATCGGAATAGCTTCTTTTGGTAATAGAAGCCCCATCAAACATCGTATTAAACATAAGCATGAACGCGATCGTCACATATTGCGCCTAAAACAACACCAAATCAACATTTTCCTTCAAAGGATCTGTTTATTTTAAGGTTTCTTACCTTAAGCATAGCAGAATCTAAAAATAGCTGACACACCGCTTAATATTTCACGCCCCCTGACGGAGCTTACTGTCTGCGCGTGGGGTGATACGTAGCGTATTGATATATAGGCTCAACAGTTTTTAGGGCAGATTTACCGCATGAATATTTGTTATTGAGGCTTTAAATATATGTACATCGAATGTTTGGGCGATCAAATATATTTATTATTTCATTTTATCAACTTTCTCAAAAGATATAACGTTGTTTTCTTTTAGATCTTTTATGGCTATTTAATATATTTTCAATAGTTTGATGAGGATACAAAATACAAATAAAAAACAACAATTTTAAATAAATAAATATTTTATTCTTAAATATTAAATAATTTACAAAAAACACGTCGTTCTATTATCTAATAGGACTGTGACTAAAAAATTAAATAGAAATGCAACAAGTTATACTAAAATCTACTAATAAATTATATTATTCAGAAATACCAACATTGCAAAATCAACAAAATCCATTTCTTTGTTCAATGGCACTTTAATAAATATGGCATAAAAATAAAAACGTTTAATTATAAAAAAAATTAAAAAATAATAATAATTTAATACGTCAACATTATATGAAAATAACTTACATTAAAAATACTAAATTAAAAATAAACGCTTATCACAAACATTGCCTAATGAATAAATACGTATAAATAGACTAAATTTGCATCAACTTTGGTTGAAAATTAACACTACGTTTTGGGAATTGCTATAGGATCAGCCAGAATATGTTGGGAGCCTACAACTAAACTTTACATCGCTCTGAACATCATTTTATTATCGTTGCTCTCTTGCTCTTGTCGTTTGTGAAAAGATTCCGCGTCTTTTCTGAAATAACAAATAAGTACACTATGTAGCTTTCCGCCGGCACCTTAGAGTTCGATTATATCGCGATTCCAAGAGAACTTTTCAAAAGTCTGAGATAAAACTATCCTATGTTCTTTCTCAAAGTCAACTCCATCTCTGTACCAAATTTCATTAAAATCAGTTCAGTGGTTTAGGTGTGAAAGGGTAACAGACAGACGGACAGAGTTACTTTCGCATTTATAATATTAGTAGGGATTATAAGTGTCCTTTACTCTCAACAATATCTAGAATAGAGAATTTTAGTATTTATTTATATGAAAACCGTGAAACAAAATTCCAACTCACGAATATTTGTTGTTTGATGGTTGGAAGAAACTCTTAGGGCACAAACGGTAGTACGGCCAGCATTCGCCCCCTGATTCACCAGCGCGTTGTGCCTCCACGTATTCAGATAACATTTCAGCATACGGAGATTTATTTGGACTGTTCACATATAATTAAAATTATTGCTAAAAGTTTTTATGTATTCCATTGCCTACTGAGTATTTTTGTGACTATATTTTTGCATTACATGTGGTGTGGATAAGCATTTAATCATTCGAGAAATGTTCAAACTTCAAAGTCAATGAGATACAATTTTAATCAACATAGGTATGATTGTCGCCTTAATAATGATGGGATTTTAAGTAAAAGACGTATAATTATTATTATATTTGTAAATAATATAAAAATGAGCAACAACTTGTCTTTTATGGAAATCTCTATTAATATTAAAAATGTATTAAGCTAGGTTTAAATGATCATTTTATAATTAATACAAAATATTATATAAAGGATTATGAATAATGTTCGTTGTATACCTGAAAAATAGTTTCATAACTTCTCCAAGAAAGCCAAAGTTCGTTAGTGGGTGTGCATGAACTTCACAAATTGCTCGCAGGAGACATTCCTTGCCGTCGAGTCCAAAATTTGCCAACAAATCTTCAGCGATGCCATACATGAGGGCCCTTTGAATTATAAATCATTATAATATAACAGTCTTACTATTAATATTTAGTTTATATAGTAAGTACGCGTTTATGTAACAAAATTAATAATCAACATAAAATAAGATATAAATTGCGGAGTTTTTTTAGTAACAATACAATTTCCTTCTAGTTTTTAAATATAATTAATTAATAAGGATATTACAGATATATCCTTTAAAAGCATTATGTTAAAAAAGAAGTACATAATTAACAAATTAAAATTAATTAACAAATTAACAGAAAAATTATAAATCTAGACCGAAAAATTGGTTGTTTAACAAAAAAATATAATCAAAATAAATTTAAAAAAAGAATCTATTAGAAGTAAACTAAAGAATTTATGTAAATTAATAAAATAACAACATGTTGCGTTCAGAAATGTCTATATTTAAATCAGGTAAAATATTAAAACAACATATATCTATTACGTTTATATTGTTCGATGAGATTACGTAACTATGATACAAATGACAAATGAATTTAAATAGTTCTTGCCGTTTCATGGGCGTGTATTGAATTAATGAGTGTATTTATTTAGTGAAAGTGACAGAAGATTTTACGGTCACGTCCTCAAGGCTTACATAAAATTCGTGTGGTCCCATGCTGGCTGGATTTTATATGACTATACCACTATAGAAGGACGCTTGAATTATGTTCGTAACGGTTTTGATAACGGTTGTCAAACGTATTTTTTACATAGTTTATTTTTTGCTGCTTTACCGTATATTATATTTCGTTCTACAAATAAACTGTTCGGCTCCTCTACGCGAAGTTTTAAAGTATATTAAGTATTTTAAATTTAATTGTTAAAATTTATATAGCTAAATAAATTATCAATAATAATTTTGACGTTAATATTCATAGAAAACTATTTTTCAAATATTATTTTTAACAAAATTATTTTTTTCGGCAGTTCTTGTTCTAATATTTATGTTATCTCAAACAAATATTCTCCTAACCATAGGTAATAAAAAAAAGATATGTTATTTTTCTGACCACATTTCTTTTACCTTTCTCCTCCATGAAATTTGTCAAGAACCATCCTCTCTGTTTCTGGGGGTATCGGTTCATTTGTAGATCTCTTTCCTCTCCTGTTATCAAGGTACTGTCCAACGTATTCAGCCATAGCTGATGCCGCAGCTCTACCCATAGATCTGGCAAAGATAGGAGGCAGATCCCCATAGGGATTCTCATTGTCCGTCAAACCTAACTTGTCGAAATCAACTGCAAATTATGATGACACAATTAGATTCAATTTTTTTGAAAACATACTACAAAATGGTTAAGAAAAACGCCAAGCAATATTTTAATACACTTTCGATTTAGTAGAAACTGTATTTTTTATCAACATTGCTTACTATTACACTCTTTGAACAAATATCACTTATTATGGTCTTAATCACTTTTATGGCAGTTTTTTTTACATTTTTGACAAATAAATTCCGTGTTTACGATATTGTTGCATTTAATTTATAAATGTATACTAATCGTTAGATCGTATTAGACTTTAATTGTATATAAGGTACACCACTATCGTCATCACTGCCTAAAACTATTTACTACTAATTTACTATATTCTAATTGACTACTAATTTACTGCTTGCAAGTCACGAACTACAATACAATGTTTTAGTTATCTACGAGACACATTATTTCTGATACGTACAAGTAATTATTATTCAATAGTTAAAATTACTTTTTGCGTAAACGAAGGTCTACATACTACTAAGTAAATACTAATACAATTCAAATGTTTTATTTTAATCTAACAACTTAGAACTACTTACGCAATTAAATATAAATCTACCTAATGATAACTACTTAATTAGGTTAAAACGAACTACTTTCTACAACTTCAAAATATCTACTGGAACTTTGAACATTATAATACTGACTTTTCCACTCCAGTTGATACATAACGGTACCTGTAAAGTGCTTAAATCTTCAGAACAAATATAAAGAATCACTATTTTCTTTCGATTCCATGAAACATAAATCTATGAGTATAATCATGAAAGTTTCCTTAACATAATTATATAAAGTTTAATTGAGCCTTCAGACTTACTTGTGAATGGAAAACTGACGGTCATATTAGAGAGGAATCCTTTCGGGGGATGTCGTACGAAGGGCATCGATATCGATGGTGTGATAGCCATAGTGGTTCCTGGGGGTAGGGCCAAGCGACCGTCATTTGTTATCCAAAGTATCCTCTTCTGTCTAGAGTGAGGAATATTCTCCTTGGAAACCTTTTGCTGGGTCTCGGGAGACGCTATCGGCAAAAGCGCAGCAAGCGCTATACTGAGTATCACACGAGGTATTCTCTCCATTGTTATCTGTAAGTAAAACATACCTTTAAAATGAAAAAAATGAATAGGACGGAACATAAAATACATAAAGGAGGTTAAATAAAATTAAAAAATTAAATTGACATTCACATTTGACAAGTTTATTTAATAACACATGCTCTGTCAATTACTGAGCAATCCTTAAAATTTTATTGAATTTTTCTTTATAACGATTGTACCATAACCCATAGCAAAAAAGCGCTATCATGGATACAAAATACTGCAAGCATCTACGAATCAGGGGTGGTCGCGAATACGACATAGAAGAGTTTATTAAAGTTTTAGAGAAACAATATAAATTCGACTTCAAGTCTTTGCCGGAATGGAAGAAACTGATAGAAGAAATGTATGTAGTCCGAACTCAATATCAAAATAAACTTAAAGAAGCTGAAAGAAGGGAATTTGAAATTATAGAAACCCTCAAAAAAGAATGTTTAAAACCCATCGAACTTAGTCATAGATTGGAAAGGGCAGCAAAGAAATGGGAACTTTTGTATTCTAAAAAGAAAAAACGCAAAGTCATACCAAGTTACCAAGATATGGTTATTTCGAATCAGGAATTAAAAAGTGATATCGAATATTTGGACGAAGAGAGTGACGTTAAATCAACAGCACATCCAAACACGGAAGTGATACAATCAAAAGACGTACTGGTTACAAAATCAGATAGAGATTCAGATCTGAAATCAATCAGTTCACCGCAACTTCCGGTCATGGTTTGCACAAATCAACATAAAAAACTTTCCGCTATAGGTTCAAAGTATTCAGCCCTATCCCCCATAGCAAGTAAACACTTTTTAACCACAACCAAATCGGACTCAGATAAAGATAACATTATTTTATGGCATCAAATAAAAGATATAATAGTTAGTCCTGATGAAATAGCTCTGGATATAAATGATAATAATAAGCAAATACTTAATTTATCTGTCAAAAATTGCAGCACACAATATTTATATTTGCGGTATCAAAGTATTCTGGATCCATTTTACTTCAAAGCTTTTACTATAGCGCCCGCGACGCCAGTAAAATTATACCCTGGTTTGACGATTGTCTTCAAATTGATGTTTAGGCTTAAGCAGGATATGGAAACGACAGAAATAAAATCAAAGTTATGCTTTAAATTTGGTTTGAATGTACTATTTGAAGGAAAAGAAGATATATTATTCTACGTTCCTATTGTTAGCAAAACTTTTGGGGAAAACGATATTTCTGTGATTAAAACTCTCAATATCCCTCCAACTTATCAATGGCGTGTGTCGCGTAAATGTGGATATCCAAGAGGATTAGGTTACATCCATGTAATGGATGACAATCAATACGATGTATATGTACGAAAGCGAGATATGTCCTATGATTTTGAAGATAGTATTGACTCGGTTAAAGTGGTCAGTCCAGATTCAGAGAGTCAGGTTCTAAGAGAAGAGGATATTGACAGAGATATCCAGAATGAAACTTTACTGAATGAAAAAGTTACACCTATCGATGACACGGCGAATGAGGAAAATGTAATAAATACATCTGATATTGTTTTACTCTTGTTAGAAGATATTCTAGACCTAACATTTCAGCCATTTGTATTTAAACACACGTATTTAAAATTACTACCGAAATGTAAGAAAATATTTGAAGTATACCTAACCAAGTCAGACCACATTGGTTATTATAATGCATATTATGATTTAGAATTCCAAAATTCACATACATATGAAGTTGTAATGACGAAGACTATAAAAGTTTTCGCTGAGATTCTTCCTTCTCCAATAACAATAACGCCTCAAATTTTGGATATGACACACTCACCTATTACGTTTGGCTTTTGTAGAGATTATATTACAATTGTCAATAACCATAAGGTATGTCCAGTTGCTGTTAAAATAAAAACAACAACAAAAATGCAGAGGATATTCAAAATTACACCTATGGAAACTTTCATCCCTGGAAAGTGCTGCACCAAATTTGAAGTACGCTTATGTTTGCAGAATTGTAAAGAAAATGATTTAAATGAACTATCATATTTCACAATAAAAATAATTATAAGCGGCGATAAATCTATTTATAGTTATTTCCCGCCAATTTTTTACGAAATTATAGTACCTTGTGCCAAAGAATTTAAGCGAATTTATGGAAAGAAATATTTTCGTGAAATCTCTGATTCTGATCAACATATAACATGAAAACCTAAAAAGGGCTTCATCAATTGTATAACATAAGATTATCATTAAACGATCGAAGTTAACTATAATTAAACACAAATTCACTGCGTTGAAATGGAATACTTTATATAGTGAAAAGTCGTAACTAACTTTCCTGGCTCATAAAAATTGCATTAACAAGTGAAGTTTAAGGAATGTTGCTGTAGACGACAAGGATTACCTGCTGACCAACTTCACGTGTGGGTCAGCGAGTACATAATATCCAGTTCAGATCGACGGACCGGTTTAACAATCGATTATAAATCTGCGAAGATGCGGCTGTTGTGAGATATAGCTTAAATGATATTGTAATTTGATGACACCTCAGATTTAATCAAATATAGAGTTCCATATCTCATAGTTATGACGATGTTATCACCCATTGGTATAACCCAAATGTATACTCGTTGGATAACGTTACTTCATAACTATAAATTACTTTGATATATGTAACATACCAATAAAATAAACATTGTTGCTTAATGAGAATCTGTTAATTATTTCATGCACTGGCTTTTGTTATTCGTAATGAATTATGGAAGTAACAATTAATAGGATTAGATGTTAACTCAGTAACCGAGTTTGAAACACAATAAGTCATAAATTAACTTAAATAGTGCGGTTGTGATTAGAAATCATTAAATTTTAATGACAATGATCCCTGAGCGAACAACCGTTACATTGTTACTGCATTGTTTCCAAACAATTGACAGCTTGCGTGTAGACGTGTTTTAACTATTTTCGGAATTACTTATGTTTTAGAAAAGTAGGTGCATGTCAAAAGTTAGTGTGGTGCATATGAGATTTTCCGTGTAAAATAATATACGCTTACGGACATGACCTTGTTCCGGACCCCTGTTTTATATTTACGTGTAACAAATCGTGTTTAAAATGTATAATAAAATACTGTTTACACTTTGACACACTTCAATTTGTGTTAAAGAAAGAAAATATACAAATCTAGAAATACTTGTTAGTCGATTAACATTTTTCGGCAACTAATAGAAATGATTCATTAAAATTGTATCTATCGGTTTTATAGAAAATATCTAGCGCTCGTTTAAAACTACTTATTATTCTAACAGCGCCACACATATTACAAATGCGTTATCGCTCCGATTGAAAATCGATAAAGCATCGATATATTTTGGAGTGTAATCACGAATTATTTTGCATGCATTCCGCGTATTACTTTCGCGGATCTTGTTTTTTTGACAAAACATCGACCAAATAATGCAATCACCTACGTGATTGATGGATTTCTAATTTGACGTATTTCTTTTTTTTATGCCATGCGTTCATCGCACTGGAATCGTGGATTATTCTGCCATATTACCGTTTTTATTAGTTGGTACTTATTTCTTATACTGTAAAAAAATCAATCGTCAATCTGATAGTTATACGATATTGTTCATATAGGTACCTCATTTTAATTCATATAAAGTTTTTTTGGAATTTAAATTCACTGATTACATTTTTTGCCAATTAATAAATCATTTAAATTAAGAATCATTTTTGTTAATTATATTTTTTTATATGGCAATTAATAAAGCAATATCTAAGGTTCAAGAGATAGCACTTAAAAGGTATCTTTCGATTAACATCAGTGTTAATAGAATCCAGTTAGCAAGGTATTAAGCTTTACAGAAATAAACACTATCAACTGGTAGTAAGAAAAATTAATATCGAATAACATTAAATAGGACCTACTTAGATTATCAGTAGTAGGTAATAGATAGTTATAAAAATAATTACATTAATATTCAGTTATAAGAACGAGATAGAAAAATTCGGTCAATATTTTTACGTAGAGTTTTTTTAGACATGAGGGGGAAAACTATATACTTTATATATCAGTATAAATGAATGTCAATGTTTTAGGTCACCTGAAGAAAATCTAGATTTACAGAAGCATTGTAAAGTCATACAAACACAAATCGCGCAATTTCATCTGCCAAATGTGTTATTGTTTTATCTTGCGGTCCGTTTTATTACTGTATGGTCATAATTTTAGCTTCTCTTCTTTAGTTTCCGCACGCAACTTTACCTCCGAAATAAATATATATATTTGTCTGTATATACAATCGTAATTGACCGGCGTCTATAATAGCCACTATTTAAAGCTGTTATGAAGGCATGATAATAATTTGAGTAGTTTTACGATAAATTTTATAGTTATGAACATGTGGTCTCACACCTAAATAAAGGTCCAACTGTCAATTAAGCCATAATTTATGTTAAAGGGTTAAACGATCAAACATACTGGTATTATTTTCATACAATATGATTTAGGTGACTGTTTTACGAGCGGTATTAATGTATTAAACTGGTTTCACATAATTTAAACAACACAATCAACCTGTTCGTACAATTGCAAAAATAAAAAAGCGTTAAGAATGAGGACATATAAAAAAACTGTAGTCGCTGAACGTAGGAAGAGAAGAAATGAAATCAGAATGATAATTAAAATAAACCTGGTAATTTATCTAGCACGCTATATTTATCAGTCGGCAACGATAAATGCCAACTAATTGCATTAAATTTTCTTATTAGATGTATTCGACTTGACTTAACTTACCGGTTAGTACAATTAACTTAACTTACCAAATCAGAGTCTATAGAACTATAAGCACAGTACACAATGCGTGATTGTTCTTGGACACTCAATCACTTAAACGTTCCTGACGGGCGATCATCACAAAATGTATCTTCTGATAACAGCTCCACTATACACCTGTCAATGCTGTTACGCTGCCAAAAATTTCGCCGACTCGTACACGTTCATGCATAACAATTACTATGAAATTTGACCTCCTTTAAAAGAAAAAATCAAACCGATTTTCCCTGACATCTATATCAAAATTAACACGCGCCGTCCCCCGAGTCCTGCGACCGTCTGTACGTTTGTGACTTGTATTGACGACTTTGTATTCAGTTGCCGCCAAAACTCTCTTTGCTAATTCTGATGCACGGAGCGTTCTTCGCTTTCCTCTTGTAACAATGGAGTGGCGGTTCCTGGGGTGACGGGGTCCTCATCGTATCGTGTCAGGAGTTAATTGATCATGGTTGTAACAAGTTGTCTCGTGTCGGCCTACCGGTATGGAATGAAGCCGTGCGCACAGTAATCGAAGCCTCGCGAGTTGGCCACTGGGTTAGCGGTGCTCCTTTCCTGCTAGCAGGTCTTGCAAACGCGCTTTTGGACTAATGAAACTGGAAATGATAAATTGAAATCGGTTTTACCCTTGTAATTATAGAAGATTTTTCATTTTCATGAAGACCTAATCTTGTCGCATGTAGATATAGAATTATGGTATCAAATTTATGACGGAATATTATTGGTTTTGGAAATCAAAATGTTAGCAATATTAAATTTTCTATACTTATAATTTAACCCAAAAATAGTAAAGCCTCGTAAACAAATAAAGTTCGTCACATAATTGTTTCTTATTAATACCTAAACCTATTTCCAAATCTGATTGAATATAAAGTAACAGTTCTGAATCTAAATAAAATATTTCAAATACATAAACATCTTTAACGATTATTCAATAATGAAAAACTTAGCATACAATTTAATAACATTTATATGCCATAACATAAATATCTCGTAATACCCATCTTTAAACGTGCAAAATATATAAATGTAAATTTTATGTAAACACAGGAAAGTAACTACCTTTCAGCGCACAATCGCTTAAGATTATTGCTATTTTCTTATTCTTTACGTGATTTTAAATCTAAAACATATTTAACGGAAGTAAATTAATTGGTAACCAATATTTGATAGAATACACTTGTTACTTTTTATATTAAAGCAACATAATACATATTTTTTAATTAGATAATTTCTTTCTCTAAAGTAAACGGATAGGCCTCTTAATAGGATTAATTGCAATTGTGCTGGATATTAAGTCATATGAATTAAGTATTAACTGATAATTTCAAGTCTTAATATAGTTAGTATAATTTTGATATTATTATAATATAAACAAACAAATAACTACACTTAAATCTAGATTACGCTACTCAAGATTTATTGTCATAGTTTAAACTAATAATCTGCGTATTATGGAAAATAATCCTAAATTGTCGTCACTCTTTTTATCTGAGATAGGAAATAACTATCATGAATATTGCAGTCTCGTATTTTTAGGTAAATATATAATTTAACATACGTAATGTGTGTTGAAAACATTTAACATTCCCACCGTTTGCCAAAAAGTGCAAATTAATTTATTTATTCCCCTTCAGTCATCGAGGATGGCGCTGCAAATGTCAACTTTCAATCTTTAGCGATTCAAATTCAAATGCAAACGGAAACTTAACCAGGCACCCACAATCAGTATAAATAATGCATCTTACGCCATTCTCATGTTAATTCACTGTTTAGTCCACATACAATGGAATATGAAAATCGCGAAGCTTTTGAAAACTAACGTCACAAAACAACGGACTTGGAAATATGTTTTTGATGTTTATAAATTCCGTTAAAACCGTTGTCGCTTCAAACCGCACTTCTACTATTGTCAAACGTAACTTAACTATTCGAATATGAAGACTATTTCACTAATTTCCATTAAAACTTATATGTTTAACAATTAATTTGAAAGTAAATTTTTTCAACTCCCTTTTTAGCCTAAATTGAAAATGTAGACTTTCTAAGTAATCAATTAAAGAAATAACATGGCCGATTAACATGTGATTTACGTGCGTTATATATTAAACAGTTTAAATTTAAATTTAAAAATAGTTTAAATTCAAGCCATGTAACCTTAAGATCACTGGGAGATGAAACGACTTGATCTGGGATAACGCCAATTTGGGCGCATTACTGAGAAACAATTGTAGTAACAAACAGGTAAAAAAATATTTATTTATTAAACGAGGACTTGAGGTTAAAATACCTCTTAGAAATAGAACTGTGTTTTTGTTTATATTGATATAAACATAATGAATAGCACAAATATATACCTACATACTTGTCGTTTTTTTTAAATATAAATTTTGTTATTAAAACACAGTGAATAATATAAATTTATTTATATTAAAGATCTTAAATAAACCGCTATTTAGAATGGTGTTTGTGTATTTTATGTACTACACCTTTGTCCTTTGTTTTCTTATATTATGTTAAAAAAAACAAGATTAACAGAGCGTATTAAAAATTATTTATTAGCGTCATACAAGTAGTGTTGCAATGTAAATATGGAAAACTAAAACACAAAATGAATCGTTCATGCCAACCGAATGTTCTACATATTATTTTTGCATATTAATGTAATATATTTATATTCATGTATATTTTTCCCATACTTTTTCAGAATTTTATAACAAATTCCAAATTGTATGTATGTATATGTTTTGTTACTTAAACGATTGTATAGTTTCATTTTAACTTAATTTTTACTATTAACTTATGAGATTGTTTTTTTTCGTAAATTGCAAAACCTATAAAACTTTTCATATATCTTATGCTTACAAATTATTCATGCATCACTTTCAGTGAAAACAGCTTTAGTAAGAAACGTTTGTCCGACATTTTTGGTAGCTATTTTATGGTCCACAAAAATTACCGATAAATAGTTCTCTTTTACAAAATATATGTATGTAGACGGAGAAGACATGAACAACAATATTTTTGCCCTAAGTACTAATAAGAATAAACGAAGTATATTTAAAAAAATCCTATTTTTTTATCTAATAATTATACGACCCAAGCCAATGAGGAACTATTTCTATAAAAACAAAAATGATTGGTATGATTTGCGGATAAGATTTCCAAACACAGAAAAATACATAATTCTTATTAATTACACCATAAAAGTAACAACTCATATCATTAACCTTACTACCTACCATTATATATTCTAAGAGCTAGCAACGTTTTTGAACAAGCATTTCAGGTAGGCTAGTTTTTAGATATGCTATCTCTCACACTCCCCTGGACGTCATACGGGCTATTGGCTGCCGGTAGTGGTTGCGTTCATCAGTGCGCATCGTACTTGTGGAGGTAAAAAATTAATATATCAAATCATTTTAAGAAGGTTTTTTTTATTATTATTATTATTATTGAAGTATTCACAACATAAATTTATTATTGCCAGGTATTTTTATTGTTGTTTAAACGGTGCCAAGCGGCAATTTTGAATTAAAAATTTATTTTTTTCAAACTATTTTAGTATAGCTGAAATTTTAATAGCATGATATTTAACTATCTAAAAGCTCAGAATTAATTTGCCAGGAAAAAAATCGGTTGTTAAACTTTTGCCAGATCGAAATAAAGTGTAAAGAGATGTAGTATCATTTAGCTTGGTCTAGAAAATTAATCGTCTAATAAATGATGGAAGAAGGATTAAAAACTATTGAATTTATGTATAGATGAATACGGTATAAAAATAATACTTTATTGTTGTATAAAATTGAGATAATGATCAATGTTAAGTTTGAAAAAGATCATCATCTTCATCACTGCTGTCATTTCCATTGTTATCATCGTCCTTAAAATTATTATCATTTTGTAATAAGCTGTTATCTGTAATAGAATCAAAAATTTTAATATCTTTCGAGAAATATTTTTTTTGTATTTTAGTTCAAATTTTTACCTTTAATAATAATATCAGCAACTAATGTTGGTAATTGCTCCCCAACAAACCAGATAAAATCATATTTATCATCATTAATGGTCCAGCCAGAAGCTTGAGGTGATAGAGATGTTGGGTATTTTAAATAAGCATTTCTCAAAAACGTTGTGACATAACGAACTCGTAGTAAGTGTTGATATAACTCAGCTTTACTCGGTAGTAGACTTGATGGATTAAAATTACGGAACTTTTTTCAAAATTATACGATAGGGTTTTAGAAATCATACGTGAAGCGGTTAGTCTTTCGGTAGCCAGAGCGCTTTTTCAAACTTAACATTGATCATTATCTCAATTTTGTGCAACAATAAAGTATTATTTTTATACCGTATTCATCTATAAATAAATTCAATAGTTTTTAATCCTTCTTCCATCATTTATTAGACGATTAATTTTCTAGACCAAGCTAAATGATACTACATCTCTTTACACTTTATTTCGATCTGGCAAAAGTTTAACAACCGATTTTTTTCCTGGCAAATTAATTCTGAGCTTTTAGATAGTTAAATATCATGCTATTAAAATTACAGCTATACTAAAATAGTTTGAAAAAAATAAATTTTTAATTCAAAATTGCCGCTTGGCACCGTTTAAACAACAATAAAAATACCTGGCAATAATAAATTTATGTTGTGAATACTTCAATAATAATAATAATAATAATAAAAACCTTCTTAAAATGATTTGATATATTAATTTTTTACCTCCACAAGTACGATGCGCACTGATGAACGCAACCACTACCGGCAGCCAGATAGCCCGTATGACGTCCAGGGGAGTGTGAGAGATAGCATATCTAAAAACTAGCCTACCTGAAATGCTTGTTTTTTTGACGTTGCTAGCTCTCGTACCAATACATAAGTATATTTATGATCACACTTACAAAATCGCGAAGCGTAAACTTTTAGTTACTATTTGTGAATCAAATCAATAGAATTTTATTATATTTCAGATAAACATCTAAAAATTCACAAATAATATACTAAATGTTATTTGAAAAGGGTGTAAATACGAAAAAATTTGTACAGAATTTAAAAAAGCAAGCACTTTTCTCCTTTCAAACAAGAAGCAGGTTTATTTAGGTATATTATTAGCTGTGTCTAATAATGTTAGACTTAATTGACGATAAAAAAAACTTGTTCAACCTGATCAGGTGTATAGACATTTGTATAATGCGGCTAGCTTTGAACATCCCTCATATATAATTATGTTAATTGCATTCAAAAGAAGTGAAGGATAGATATAAATGGGTGATTTTTCTATTTATACAATTATATTAGTTAGTCAGTGGTGGCCTAGTGGTTAAAAGGCTCGCCTCTCATGCACGAGGGCTTGGGTTCGATCCTGGCCCCGGCAAGTACCAATGTGATTTCTCCGAGTCATATGTACTTTCTAAGAGTATTTAGACATCACTTATCAATGCTGATTTCCAAAGAGGGTTGATGTCAGGCAGGCGTCCGGTCTTAAAAACAAATAGCCAAAACTATAGATAACATGTAAGGCAGACCCTGGCGAAAGCTGGGAAACTGCCAGGTAGAAGATGATTGTCATTAAGAGCTAAGGAATGATTTTTTAATGAATAATCGTAAAAACATTTGATAAATCCTACCTATTAATATCATGTTTCCAATATATACTCAAATAATTTATGTATCAAAAAACGAGTTGTGATATAAGGAATAAAGTAAAGATAAATCGTGAATATATTAAAATATAGCAACCCAAAATCCTACATATGTTTACTTTCACAAAGCTGATATAATGTTATCCTTAAAAGATTTTAGCACATGAGGAAAATTTTATGTTTTAGCATTTATTTCAAAGTTACTTTGAACACGAATTAAATTGCAAGTTATTTAGTTTTCTATTTATTATTATTAAATAGTAAATAGATATGGAAATTGGTTAATCTAAAACTATTTATAAATTGTTATTTCCATTTCGCGATTAGATTTTTTTAAATACATATATATTCTTACAACTTTGTAAATAAATGTAATGGAAGTAATACAGCGTGCTACCTATAAATTAGTCGTTATTAATTCCGTATTTTTATTAATACTTATTCAAATTATCTTTTTGTGGACCTATACGATATTATTGGTACATTATTGACTTCATCAGGCTTAATGTGGCTATAATTTTATAGCAAATTCTATAACCTTTAAACTGAACTTCATTTTTCTTAGAAATTATCAGTAAAAATATTATTTAATTATTATACTTCGTACTCATGTAACCTGGTTAAAAGTTTCTTAGTTTTTCCATAGTAAAACGTCGTGATAATTTAGTTCAACGCATATGGGCAGAAAGAAAATACGTTAATAAAAAGTAAACTATTTCAAGTAGAGACACTTAATTGATGTTGTTGTTGACTAAAAGTAATAAATAGGTATTTATGATACTTAAAAACTTGATTTGGTACTATCTTATCGTTTCTAATTAATCATGATCGAGATTAACAATTGTTGAAATGATAACAAGTTTCCATTGATATAATTTAGTATTCGATAAATGTTGGTGCTATAATGGCAGAAAAAGTTAAGAAGAAACCGTCGTTTTTTAGTCTAAAACGTTTCAATAGTCAAAAAAGTATTGATGAACCGGTAACACCAACACAACCAAGTCCACCAGTTTTCAAACCAGCGCCTGGAAGAATGAGTAATACAGACACGAAACCGAGGAAGTAAGTAAATTGTGACGACACTAAAATATATTTTGTTATATTGAAATTTTAACAATAGAACTAAACTTACGCTAAGTTTGAAACGTCATACTAAAAACGGAACTATAACTGTTTTTCATTCATAAATCTTCGCATATACTATTAACCTAGGTTATTGAATGGGAAACGGGAATTGTTCCGTGAGTAGTGTGACGATGCAAACTTTTACTAAGAATGTAGTTGTTTTTTAAAATAATTTTCTATAAATAGCAACTTCTTACAACAACAAAATTAACTTCTTTTATCACGTCATTTTGATGTTGAATATAATATTTATTTATCTTAATGCTTATAGAAATAATAATTCTAACAATATTTTGTGATTGTGAATCGAATTCTAAATCATACGTCGTTTAATAAGTAGAATATAAAAAACCCTAATTAATTCATAGCTACTTGATAAAATTTTCAAGCAGAGATTGCTTTTCATTTATAAGATAGCTCTTTGTAATTTTTTTGTCTTTGTTTTTGTTTTAAGTAGTGTTAATTATAACGAATATTATTATTATTCAATATTAATAATAATTTAAGCCATATAAAAGTAATAGAATCTGATAAACATATTTTATGTATTAAGGTATAATATCATATTATTTCTCATAGAAATTTAAGGACATTTTGGGCAAACAATTGCTAACAGTACAGTTACCAAGAACTTGTTAGAATTTGATGGTTACAACTTACAAACTCCGATCATTTTAAGAAAGTAATAAAACCGGGTTATGTATTAACATATAATATATTAATCTTTCTATTTAATATATATGAGGTGAAGTTTGGAGTAAGCTATTTAATACTCTCGTTATTTTTAATATACAGACATATAAGAGTTAGAACACTTGAGGTATATCTAAAATGCGTAATTGAAAACTTTGATGTACAAAACAGATTTCATGTTTATTATTATGAATATCTTTAATCGGAAGCATCTGCTATGTAATAATCGTATGGGGATATTAAAGAATAAGAGCATAATTTATTTTTATAGTTTTTTCTTTTACTAGTCGAGTTGGAGATTGGCGAACATTTTAAACCTTTATATTACATTAGCTTTCCGCCCGCAGATTCGAGCGCGTGGAGTTCTGTTATATCGCGTTTCCACGAGAACCTTTCAAAAGTCTGGGATAAAAACCATCCTATGTTCTTTCTCAAGGTCAACTTTATCTCTGTACCAAATTTCATTTAAATCAGTTCAGTGGTTTAGGCGTCAAAGCGTCACAGACAGACAGACAGAGTTACTTTCGCATTTATAATATTATTAGGGATTTTAGATCTATAGGTATTCTATACCCATATATTGCTATGTAGAAATAATATGTCATTGTATTGTGTAATAAAGTAGGTTTAAAAGTGTGTAGATGTACAATCGCTGTCTAATAAAGTAGGTGGGACTATGATAATTTTTATTGAAAAATAATATTTAAAAATTTTCTAAAGTTTTACTTATGTTCTGATTTTATAACAAAGGATAGTTTTTTAATATTTTTCTATTAGGTATTTAGGACTGTTACAACTAAATATTGACTAATCTAAGTAAGTTTTTGAAAATACATATAAGCAAGGAAACGATCGATTACTAAGGAAACTGCTTTTACATATAATTTAAAGATAACGAATAATTATGTGGATTGTAAAATAAGGTAAAAATATTCAGGTTATCCAATAGTATTAGTAGGATACGTGTTGGAGGCAACAAACTGAATACTGCAGGTTACGCAGTACTTTATACACGAATAAAATTTATTTTTAATAAGAAACCTGGTGACTGGAACTATTTTTACCAGTTTACCAGTAATTATTACTTTCTGCCAACGTTCTGTGAAAATGTTATCCGGGAAAATCCAACTCATTGGTAACTAATACCTCGAATGCAATTTCACTTTGCAAAAAAAAATTTCATAGTTAAAACAGATAGAGGGTTTTTTTAAACTTTTTATTACATTACAATAATAAAGAAATTATAAATTTAAGGGAATTACAATAAGATTGGAAGTAATGCTTAGGTACAGGTTTACGAAATGTATTGGTAATAATCGCAATAAAAATCACAAAATAACAGTTATATAAATTGTTTAAAACATCTAGGGAGTCTGCTGCTGGGATAAGAGAACTAGTGCAATGTTCTCTGTGCTTGGAAATGTTGAGTAATCCAAAAATGTTACCCTGTCAACACACCTTCTGTTGTGCGTGTCTCAAAGTTTATGTCGCAGGTAAAAATTGTATTAATATTTTACGAACTTGTGACTAATTTGAAATATAAAACATATTTTTCAAAATTAAACTATAATAACTGGTACTGAGACTTCATAAACAAATAATTAAATACTAATCATTTATTTGTTACATTTTTTTATCCATTTAAGATCAACCAGTGATAACTTGTCCCATATGCTGCACGCGGATACAAGTACTCAAACAAAACTTCGTAGAGGAACTGCCGTCTAATCTCTACATTGACACATTATTAACTATGTTCGGTGTCGAAAAGAAATCTGATATGAATACTCCACCGATGACTCCATATAATCTACAAAGTGTCGATCTATTTGCTGGTGGAGTTAGATGCTCTCATTGTCGGACTATGTGTGATAATTCTGATGTTTCGGCTTGTCAACATTGTAAATTGGTCAGTATTTTAGGTACTGTTAAACGCTTTGCAATCTAGATATATTAAATGGCTTGCAGATTGTAATTTTGACATAGCTACAAGTGATTTCCAAAAGAATGATCACTCGAAATAAAATTCTAAACATATTCTTAAAACCGGTGAAAAAGAACTTGCAATATTACCTAACTGTAATAAAATTAAAGTCTAAATATTTATTTAAACCATATTATTTTCTTACACAACACAAATATTGATAAGTTTTCTTAATGTTTTAGAACTTTTGCAACGTATGCTGGTCACAACACTTGAAGGACATGAGATCACAAATTAGTTCAATTTTGAAGGAACTAGACGCTGCATCCAGTAGACTTGAACACAAAGTAGAACATTATAAGGTAATATTATAATTAAAACTAATTATTACGTATAAATTGAGAAAATTACATCAATATGAAATACATGACATAGTTACGCAGATTAAAAGTAAAACCGCCAATTGTTTTATCTTCTCATTAGTGAAATTAAAAGATAATTAACAATGGTGACATATGATTGTATAAAGAACATAATAAACAATACCATACCGAATGAAAGTGAAATAATTCTCACGCGGTTATTATTGATATACCTACCTAATTTCACATTTTCTTTCAAGGATCGCTGTGAACGAATCGTTGAACAAATTAACATAGCGGCTGAGGAAAAAATTAACACAATTTTGGAAAGCAAAGAAAATTTACTAATCGAAGCAAATAGATTACAAAAATCTGGTGATCTTTCCGCATTAGCTCTAAAATCGTCTCTTGAAGAGGCTAGAGATGCATCTATTCAGACAATGACAAGCCAAGAGGACAATGACGGCGAAATGGTATTACTAATATTATAATTAATATGCTTTAATAACATTGTTCTTACCACCGTATTACATGGATTATTAAATTATCTTCTCTAATCAGATCAATAAATTTATAAACCTACATCAAAACACAATACAATTGTTATCCGAAGTATCGAAATGGGATGCTGAAAAATTTGTATTTGACAAAGAGAACTTTAGCATAGAATCGGATTCTTCGGTGCCTTGCGATGCTGAATCAGATGATCCTTTGCCCGAAACCGTTAAACAAAATAATCCTATGGAAAATGAGGCCAGCCTTATTTTACACTACAGGTAAGTAAGCATTTTATATAATATAAAAAGGGTAGAAATAGATTTAGGTGATATCAATCGAACTAAATATACAAAACGAATGTTTTTTTAAGAATTACGATTTACGATAAATGCTATAATCAATTAAGTAGATAAAATATTATTAATGTATGACATTCTTAGAATTAATGATTGGGGCAGAAGTATTTTTTTTAAATAATTAAACTAAATATACCTATTGAATGATTTATCACGTCTGTCCGAGATCGAGGCTGCTGAAAAGTATTTGAAACGTATAGTTATAATGGAAAAAAAGATAGTTTTATTTAACTTTAAAATGTAAATTCCAGATCCAGGAATTTCATTCCCCATTACTCATGGCGTAAGACCTCCCGACCTTGCGGCGTTGGCGTCAGTCCATGGAACAACCACCTCTACATATGTGGTATGGACAGTCACAGTGTTCTCGTGGTGGAAAGGACTCAGGCCAAGATAGTTTCCAGATTATCATGTGAAGGCATGCTGTGTCCAGTACACATCGCCTTTATGAAATCTTTAGGAGAAATTTACGTTACAGGTGAGTTTTCCTCTATCGTAACTAACTGATAATTCATGTTATTTAAAATCTATATGTTTTAAGATAAATGGAAACACTGCATCCACGTTTTCTCCAAGGACGGCGATTACTTAAGATCGTTGGGACAGAAGGGCAGTCGTGTGGGCATGTTGAGATCGCCTGAAGGCATTGCCACTGATAATATGAGTAATCAGATATATGTCGTGGATACTGGCAACGATAGAGTCCAGGTACATACAATACAAAATTATTAGGTACACCTAATGCCTGTAAAATATTATTTTTTGGCAGTGACGGTGGAAACATAATATATTCAAATTAAATACTGAAAAAGAATCTCAAATATTTATGTTTTTTTCACACAACTTAGCTGTTTTTTGTTCTTTATCAGTCATTAAATTTTTAATAACCTCAACAGGTATTAGATTCAGAAGGTAAATTCGTCGATCAATATGGTGTGGCCTCGAGAGCGCAAAGTAGCAACACTTCCAGTGTTTGGGCACAAAAAGAAACATTGTGTACGGAATTCAACGCACCTACAGCTGTGGCCGTAACTAAGGATAGAGTGATTGTATTGGACAGTGGGAACCGAAGGGTAAAGATATATAACAAACAGGATAAGAACAAAATCATGGAGTTCGGGTCTTTAGGGCAGAGGAAGGGACAATTTAGACAGCCAGAGGTATTGACCGTCGATCCCCTGGGTTTCATACTAGTTGGTGATTCAGGCAACTGTAGAGTGCAAATCTTCAAACCGAATGGACAATTGGTCAGGGTTTTTGGAGGTTTAGGAGCTGATCCCGGAAAATTTGGATGGATATCAGGAATATACGTCACCAAACAACTTGACATCATAGTCAGTGACACCAAAAACCACAACGTCAACTTCTTCTAAATAAAACGCAAAATCAACAGAAACGAATTTAATAAAAATAATTATAAACCATTTGTTATCACCAGTTTACAATAAAGTGTATTTAATGAGATTCTACAATATCATTTATATATATAAAATTTTATTTTTCTCTAACAACATATAATTCTCATTTTGTGGAATGATAATTTGAAACCAAATTAATATATTGATACATCAATACTAATAAATGTCTATTATACAAAGATCTATGGTTACAGATAACAAAAATATGGCATAAATCAGTCTCGATTTTGGTGGTACAAATATTATATATACTATATACTAGTATAAATTATCGAAACTGACTCAAGTTCTTATAAAAATGATACCTAAATATAAAAGTTAAACTAAAACATTTTAAAGCCATCAGATTAAATTACCAAATCACTGATTTATTACATTATGAAAGCAAAACGTTTTTATGCTAAAATTTATGAAGCAAAAATGTAAAAAATTACAATAAAATCTGATAAAGATAAAGAGGTAGTGTTAATTGCTCACTTTTCAACTTATTATATTTGTGACATTACATTGACTGTGTATTCATGCAAAATATTATAGATTTATTTAGCAATTCCATATTAGACAACTATAAATATATTGTCTTGAATACAGATCTAAAAGTTACTATTTAAATCAAAAATAATTAAACATATAAGTTAAAGAATCAGGTTTCTTATTAAATTTAAATTATCTTAGTATTTTCTCCAAATAATATGAAACAAAACGATTCATTACTCTTTGCCTCTAAATCTAGAAATTAAAATACTAACAAAATAATTTACAATATTTGTAACACATTACAAATCATAAAAAAAAATATACATGTATGTATGTATATATCAAGTGTATATAGCACCTTAAGTGGTACAAGTTATAGAGTGTATTTGTGACATTATTTACAAAAGCATACATAGCCGTGGCAGAATAATTAAAACATTTGATCGTTTAGGCTGTTTTAACAAAAATGGCGAGAATTGTCTATGGTGTTACATCATCTTAAGAAGATTTACAAGGCTGACATCTACTTATAGGATGACTTTCACCGAGCACTACTGATTCTGACTCTGCGGGAGGTCCTTCACTATTATCGTGTTGTCTCTGGGAAAACAAAAAAGAAACTATAAATAAAAATTTGTAATAGTCATGTCTTATTACATAATATGGGTTTAATATTTAGACATAATTTTCAAAAGATCATAACTTTAAATTTTAATTTAAAATACACTTAAAAGATTACACACACAGAAGTTGAAAAAAACAATTTAAAATATACTTTATTGTATAATAGTGTTAAAAAAACATAGTTTTGTTAGCTAACTGATTTTCTATTAAGTTAGCAATACAGATTACTTAAAATTGTTATTTCATTATTCTAAAGTATATAAAAACTCAACCTTGGAGTAGCTATGATTGTTACAATGAAATAAGTATATTATATTTATACTTTTACACAATATTGTAGCTTTAATTGCATATTTTTTGTTATGTAATCTTATCTTTTGTATTTTTATCTTGATCTATTATATCTTTGGGACTATAAATAAACTACCTTAAGCTCTGTTGCTATATTTCTGAATGTATCCTCAACATTTGTGTTATCTTTAGCCGATGTTTCCATAACAAACATTATTTCAGGAACATAACGGCAGAATGACTTGGGCTCATCGGGTTCGACTTCTCTTTGTTCTGTTAGATCACATTTATTACCAATCAATGATACAATTACATTAGATGATGTATACCTCCGAACTTCTTCAATCCATTTTTGTATGGACAGAAAGGTTGATCGTTTTGTTATATCATACACTGAAAATACAAATAATATTAATGTAACTTTGAAATAACTCACCAGTGATATATATTTGTAGTTTATCATATTGATATGAGTCAGGAATAAATAATGCAAAAAGTGGGCGAATACAGCTACATACCTATAATAACACCATTGGCAGAGCGATAGTAGCTTTGAGTGATCGTTCTAAAGCGTTCCTGCCCCGCTGTATCCCAAATCTGGAGCTAAAAAATTATATATTAGTAAGCGATTTTTGAAAACATCGCATTGTTATCTGTCATTATTTACCTTGACCCTCTTCCCGTCTACAATCAAAGTTTTCATTGAAAAGTCTACGCCTATTGTATTGCCGTGTCTTTCGATGAAATTTCCGGATTTCAAGCGTTGCACAATGCATGTTTTTCCTGTTCCGCAATCCCCGATGAGAACAATTTTAAATAAATAATCGAATTGTTCATCCGGGACACTCATTAAAGTGTAAGGATTACGGCTGCTCATGATTAATCTTTAAATAACTAATAGATTAAAATTATTAATGTTTACGTTGCTCGCTTGACAACCATTTCTAACAATATACACCTGACATTGACATTACATTTTTTATATTGCAAGTTGCTACAGGATAAATTGAAAACCAAGTTTAGTTTTAACGAAACACGTGAAGAGATAATAATAATTATTATAAATATATAATTACATTCAGCTCCAGTTAGTTATTTATTTAGTGTATACCTACTGTGTATTACACATTTTTATTCTCAGATAGAGTTATTAACTCTAAAATACTATACTATTGGCAACACAGAAATTTGTTATATCAAAATATGTCTTTGAAACCTGACAAGCCGATATTTAATATTTATCATCACTGCGAATGTTATTGATAAGTTAAATTATAAAAAGGCCTAACATTTAATATTAATTTATAGTAAAACTTATATTTTTTTTGTAAAACAAAAAAGAAATGTACGATGGTTCTATACTGTCAAATTTTTCTCATTGTTTCTTATTTATTACATTTTTCTTTAGGCAGTGCTGTTGAGGTGCAAAATCATGTTTTTTAATATAATAGAAACATTTTAAGCACATTTTTACTCATCTTGTATTTTATAGCTTCCCGAACAATTTCACAAATCGAATCACACAAACAATTGGGCTGTATTAGTGGATACATCGAGGTTTTGGTTCAACTATCGGCATGTGGCTAACGTTTTGTCTATCTACCGAAGTGTTAAGCGTCTGGGCATCCCTGATAGCCAAATTATACTCATGATATCAGACGATATGGCGTGCAATCCCAGAAACCCTCGTCCAGCAACTATCTTCAACAACGCTCATGAACAAATCAATGTTTATGGTGATGATGTAGAAGTCGACTATAGAGGCTACGAAGTAACTAACACGCTTCCAAATTATTATAAAAAAATTCATAATAACTTAAACCAGTCTACAGTATAGTAATATGAGCATTTTTAATTCATTACAGGTATCAGTTGAGAATTTCGTCCGTCTCTTAACAGGCCGTGTTCCACCAGACACTCCTAAATCAAAACGACTACTAACAGATGAAGGCAGTAACATACTTATATACTTAACTGGTCACGGAGGTGATGGCTTTCTGAAGTTTCAGGACTCCGAAGAAATCACAAGTCAAGAACTGGCTGATGCTTTAGAACAAATGTGGCAGAAGAGAAGGTATACAATATACATATAATGAAATGTAGGATATTGGAAATAGTATTTTCAAGAACTTCACATATATTCTTCATATTTTTCACTAGACACTAATTCCAAATAGTTCAAGAGGTTAAAGGCCTCAAATTAAAAATATAAGGCTAATTTAAATTTTAAAATGTTTGAATGTAGAAATTTTCTTTAAAAACGAGAAATGCATGCATGCCATATACAATATATGTAAGAAATTAAGAATCAATATGTGAATAGTATTGTCATTTGTTTCTTCATTGAATATGTATGTTATTAATTATTGTTATGCAAAAAAGTCCAGCTTAATTCTGGTTGTGTTCCCTGACTTGGTTCAGTCAATTATTTTTAATTTTTGAAGTTTATTTATCAAAAAATTTGTAATATTCCGGAGGTCACAAGTTTGATTCTCGCTTGGAATGACAAATTTTCATTATTTATTTACTAATTTTGAAGGTCTTATGTATTAATTATTCTTGCTAAGTATTGTTAAATAATAATATGTGATGTGACGTCAAGTATAAGGTACATAAATAACTTGATCATATTAGAATCCATCATTCAGACTTATTACTTAGCAAAATATGCATATAAGATTTTAATTGGATATTACACAATTTTAATTACTATTTGTAACTTTTCAGGTACAATGAAATTTTCTTTATAATAGACACATGCCAGGCTTCATCAATGTATGAGAAGTTTTATTCACCTAACATATTAGCTACTGCAAGCAGTCTGGTCGGAGAGGATTCACTATCCGTGAGTTACTTTATCCATTTTATTTCAATATTTTCTATTACAAATAGTTGTAGATCAAAATTTGTTTACAAATCTTTGTATGTACAAATGTAATGTGTACTTTATGAAGTATATACATATATATTTACTGGCATTATGTATTTTTTGTATACAGATAAAACTAATTTAGATGTTTTTATTTCAACTTTTCAGCACCATGTTGATTCAGCTATTGGTGTGTACATAATTGATAGATACACATATTATGTGCTGGAATTCTTAGAAAATGTTCATCCTAATAGCAAGAAAACCATGTCAGAATTTGTGAGTATAGTTTGTTAAAGAAAAATTACATAAACTTGAACTTGAAACTCTTTCATTCAGCAATTCTCTTAGTCTGCATATTCATATAATTGTATGTCTTTATTTCTTGACAATAAAATATGCATGAATATAAAATATGCAAGACTATCTCTTACACATCTTAGTTAGCTTATATTTGTAGTTAGTCTTTAAGCCTTATATAAAGTTCATAAAATTATCGAAATAATTAATATTTATAATTTTAATATTTCAGCTTTCTGTTTGTCCGAAGAGTGCATGTTTGTCAACAGTGGGAGTTCGTCGTGATTTATTCAAGCGGGACCCTAACAAGGTCCCGATTACAGACTTCTTTGGTTCAGTCCGACCAGTCATCATAACAACTGATCCTATATACATAAAACATGCACCAAAGAGAAAGAAAACATTGTTAGTATTTACTTATAATTTTGGAGAATTAAAAAGTACTGCACCATTAAATTGATACAGATGGTATTCTATTTTTCTAAATATTAATTAAATACCATCATACTGACAGTTATTAAGTAACTATACAGTTATAATTAAAAAATTCAAATTTATTTATTTTAAGAATTTTTTGTAAACTATATTTTTAGGATCCTTAAAGGAGCCATAATATATTTAAATCATCTTTTCTTGACAAGTTTTAACGCAATTGTTGCTCTGTATATCAGTGATAATAGTATCTAAACATTTTAAGTTATAATTTATGTGCTACAATAATTAAGATCTGGTTACTGAGCAAAGTTCGGTATTTAGGAATTTTTAGTATTTATTTTGTGTTTTTTTTTTATTTCGTGTAGGCATTTTTAAGTGAACACTTTAATTAGACACAAAACCATGTAAATCAACAATAATTAATTTCTTAGTCTAACGTTAGAACAAACACTCAAGGACTACTTAGCAACGCCATCTGCTGTTGTGTCGTTTAAAAGCAACTAGCAAAAAGTTGTATTACTATTCGCCAATAGATGTCAGGAAGAGTCATATTAAACGCCTCCTTTTTGTTGTTTTTTTTTTCATAAAACAACGTTTTATAAAAAATGATTCCTAGGTAAATCCCATGAAAATCGTTGGAGCCGATTCCGAGATTTCAATTATATCTTTATATATATACAAGAATTGCTCATTTAAATATATAAGATTATTAATGATTAAATCCTAATTATTATATATTTTTTCCAGGAATGTTACCAGAGTACCTGAGAAAAGGGAATATCTACCACAATTCCCTATGCATTTAGTTAAAAACACTATTTAATTTATATTGTAAATAAATAAACCATTTCTATTATATTTCTTATTATTGTTTATTTGTATGTTAAAAACGTCCGAGTAAAATGTGAAAATGCACATTAATAATTTACTGTATGGAAAATTAATATAGCAGATTGGTATATGGGCAAGTTAGATCTATTAGATACTTTAAATGAATTTAACACATTGTAATTCTATTTCTTATTTTGATTTCTCTTAATATTTATTCTACTAAAAATATAATTGGTTCAGATTACATCTATATGCTCCACATTCTTCTATAATGTGACATTTGTATCTATTAATGTTTTCTATGCATAAGGTGTATAAAAAATATATTACCTAACAAGACAAACAGCCTCGCTATACTTGTGGGGGCTTGATTTAAAGGAGATAGTTTTTAAAATCACTCCTATATTCGCTTGAAGAGAGGTTGACAAGCTATTGGGCAGGTTAATTTATACATATAAATGAAATAAGCGTCTGTTTGTAATATTGAAATAACCGTTTTTATTACATGCATATGAATATGTATACGGTACATATACAAATATTTTCCTACAATCCTTGTTTCCGTCTGTCGTTTTGGTCCAGCTAATCTCTGAAATGGCTGGATCGATTGTGATCGATCTTTTATTGGCAATAGCTGATGTAATAGGAAGTAACTTAACTAGTAACTTGGCTACTTTTTATCTCGATATTAAACATTCCTACACGCGAGTGAGAGGCGGGGCGCTTGCGGCACCTTAAAGATATTTCATTTGTTTTTTGTACTTCTTACGCAGAGTTCCGGTAACAGCTAGTCTACTCTACAATTGGATTGGGTACAACGAAAAAAGAGAGTAGTTCTAAAACGTACAAGCTAGATTAACATTATATATTAATAGCATAAAGGTCTAGCTGCTACCTGCGACGTCGTCTACAAGTTACTATCAATGTAAACTTATTCGTTGGCAATAACAGATTCTCACAGAAACATTGTGTAGAAAATAGCCTAAAAGATTGTTTGCTGTAACGCAGTGCTGTGCCCAATCTAATACTTTCCCTTGCAAAATTTGGATATTACTATATTATTTGTTTAGTTAGTACCTAAGTAATAAAGTAAGTCATGAATGAGAGCGCGGGTTCGAAACCTGGCAAGTACCAATATGATTTTTCCTAGTCATATGTATGTTAAGATTATTTAGACACCACTGACAGACGGTGAAGGAAAACATCGTGAAGAAACCTGGACTTATAATTTCCAATTATAAGTCTGAAATTGTCAACCTGTCTTGAACAAGCGTGGTGATTAATACTCAAATCTTCTCCATATGCGAAGATGCCTTTGCTTAGCAGTGGGCTCTGTTAGGCTAATTAATACTACTAAAATTATGGGCGATTCCAAAAGCTTGATCCGTTTATCATCACTAGTTAACGCAAGCAACATTGTCCGCCTGTACCTACTTCAGATTTGTATTGAGAGAGAATTGATAATACACATATATACATAATAACATAAAACAGATACGAAAACCAAGGAATCGACTATCAACTTATATCATAAATTATTATTATAATCTTTGTTATTCTTATGTGTAAGGTAAGTACATCAAAATAAAGTTACATTAAAATCTCTTCAGTTAGTGTTCCTTGAATTAGAAACGAATATTTATACACAGTATTCAGTAACAACTAACAAACTTTCCTATTTATAATATTACTTATTAGGATATATTATACGCTGTAATATTGAAAGTCAAAAGCTGGTTCAATACATCCATTGAAATTCTGATGCTTCCTGGGCAAGGTAAAAAAGTATGCTTTTATATGATCATCTCTTATCCAATGCATAATGCACCTGATAATTTTTAATCTATTCAATGTTTGGTTTTCCCAAATAGGCGCTTATCTGGCTTATCTTTCAAGATGATGATGACAAAAGAGTTTAAGCTTATCTTGAAACGTCCCAAAAATTTTATGACTCATCTGAGTTCCGATAAAATTTCAACGATGTAGGTACTTTCGTTTGGACCCGTATTGCATTTTTTTGTTGTTTATTTGTTTAGTGGTAAGTAAATTATATTTGGTTTTATTCTCTATTACAACGGTATAGGAAAAGTAATCAAATAATATTAAAATCTTGTTAATATTACGTTGATTAAATGTAAAATTATAAACTAATCAACAAGATGTAGGCAGTAGAGCCTAGCTGTGGTCAAATTATTGCATCTCGAACATGGGTTTGCTCGACCGTGTAGTATCACCTTTTCACAGAAAATCGGTGTTAAATAGTCTGTAATTGCTTCGTTTCGTCCCTTGAGTGAGAGAGCCGGTCGCCCTTTCTGTTTTCCCACCTTTTTCTATCCTTCCCTTTCCCACTTTTTTCGCCCCCTCTTCCCTAAGCTAAAGGGTGGCAACACATCCGCAAATCTATGTTGCGGTCCTGCGGATATCCATGGGCGACGGTACTACTTCCATCTGATAGGCCGGCTGTCCTCTTTAGAATAAAAAAAGATGAAAACGTTACATTCATTTAAGTACTCACTCTTCGAATTTACTGCAACTACACAAATGTATATTTAACTAGTCTTATTTTAATTTGTACTCACTGATTCGAACAATATGACTGTAATTTTTTGACTCATTACCATGTTATTAAAAAAGTTATTTTATTTGTCAACAGTTACGAAAAAATAATTAATTCAGTTATTTTTTAATATCTGAAACGTTTCGAATATATCATTATCAAATCGAGATTCTATATAGTTTTAGTTTTTATGTTTATTCTATGGATTTATTCACGTGTCTATTAACTTGCCTACTTACCTTTTATAATTCGGTTACTATTTTTGTCACATATTTCACATTCGTGTTTGGAATTTAATTTGGATAATCAGTAACCACCTAAACCGTGACAAAAGCATTTAATTTCGGTAGAAATTCCTCATAATGCAATAGAAAAGTTAATTAATGATTAAGAAAAATCTATTAACTCTCAGTGTTTATGTTAATGATCATAGTCAGTGGTGGCTTAGTGGCTAAAAGGCCCGCCTCTCATGTTTGAGGGCGCGGGTTCGATCCTGGCAAGTACCAATGTGATTTTTCCGAGTCATATGTACTTTCTAAGAGTATTTAGACATTACTGATTAATGCATTCCCAAAGAGGGTTGATGTCAGGCAGGCGGCCGATCGCCAAAACTATTCTCCACATCTAAGGCAGACCCTGGCTAAAGCTGCGAGATAGCCAGGTAGAAGGAGTTTATGTTAATGATCAATGATACTTTTAGGCTTATATATAATTTGCTAACTCCAAGTAAGCTTCGGCCTAGCACAGACGGAGTGTAGACAGTTTTTCACTCGACATAATATATCTTCTTACATTATAATATTGATATCGATTACTAAATAAGAAGCAAGAAACGTATTATTAATTATGTGTAGTGTAAAGATTCAAATTTGTGCTAAGCATACCTACTGATCAATAGTATAAGTTCGAACATGTGATCCCAAAAATCAAAAAAAAACCAAAAGATATATTTTATTAATTATCCACAAATTATAAAACATGTATATTTTTTATGGACAGGTTGAGCTCTTAAAATGTATGCGGGTGACGCTGTCAAAGTGAGGGCAATATAGAATATAAAAAAAAACACAAGTCATGTTGCGTTTATTTATTTTCTATAAGTACTAAGAATAAAATTCTCTTTAACATCATTTAACACAACCGATTCGATAGTGAAGTCATAACGTAATAGCAACAAGTACTTACACTGATATGAGATCAAAATCTAAAGGACTATAGCACCACTTCAGTTTCTATCTATAGGCCATACTTTTGGTCTAACATTCCGTCGTACATCTAGGGTCTATAACTAGCAACAAAATGGATACAACTCCTACAAGGACCCTTAAACAAATACAAAGACGGGTTATTTGACTAGTTCTTGCTAAATTAAAAACATTATTCCTTTCATTTAACATACCAAAGCTCAACATCTGAAGTGCATAACTGGCAATTAATAAATGCTATTTTTTTCATAATAAATATGTTTAAACTGCAATTTGAAATATTTTTTAAACTTATCGGTTATACAAAGATATGCTACTTTATTAACTATAAAATTATAATTAACGATTAAAATTTGATAAATTATTTTATATTTTAAATAACAATTTTGCTTGAATAGAACTGTTATTGTATGAGTTACAAAAATGTATACTGAACATTGAAATTACCGTGAAAGCAGATTTATTGCATTCTTTTAGTTTCGCTAGTTATATCTTGATTGTTCATATAAACTACATATGTATTACATTATAACTAATTTAAAATATGAAATTTATTGTAATAAGCAGTAACTATTTAATTCTAATGTAACCGAATGGTAATATTTTTAAATTTTTATCTTGAATGGTTGAAAAAATATTTTATCTTACTCTACAAGCTCAAACATTGCTTCTAGGACTAGGCAACTTAAAATAATATTTCATCTATAATCTATATATCAACAATTCCTATAAAGAGATACAAACTCTCAACAACAAAATAAATTGTCTATTGTAAACAAATACATATAAACCAAAATTTAAACAACAATATTTAAAAAAAACATCATATTAAGCATGATGGTAACGAGATTACTTAATCATTTACAACATAATATAAAAACTATTTACATTCATAATTAAATACTATATTTGTACTTAATATTTCATTATACGTATGTTAATGACAATATTATATCTATATAACAGTTTCTCCCAAAAATATTACATTATCAACATCAAAACAAAACTCTTTTGTACCTACTTAAGGCATTTCGGAACGGTATGAATTATGAATAGATATATAAAGATTTAACATGTTCACATAAAGAAAATCATAGTTATATAATGATCAAGTTATTTTATATAAGATATTTTATTATTTTTGGTCGGGAATTATCGTGACCTACTTAAAACTAAGCGAGTAGCAAGTTTATTTTATCATCACAAATATAGACATTACATTTGAGTTAAATTACTTGACTACACAATACGGAAGCACTAATAAATCTTTCATTATATTTTAAATATAATATAAAATATATTTCAATTACCCACACTCACTATATAGCTAGTACAAAAAAATTCCCTTAGAATTTTAATAATATCAACTAACTTTTTTATCAATTCAATTCAATGTTATAAATGAATGCATGTAATTTATATTCTATTAATTAATTTGATAAAATTCAATATCATTTATGATTTATGATTCAAATAATGTTACACTCATACCATAGACAATTCTCATCGACCATAGAGCATATTAAAACAGAGATTATTTTTATATTAAACGTCATGTGTCATTAGTGACATTATCAGTTATTAAGAGTAACGATCAAGGGGTGGCATTTTTTGTTCCCCTTACAAAGTCTTTTCCTTTTTTTTTCATCAATCATCTTGTCATATTCTGACAGGGCGAAATTTAGAGTAATTTTGTTGTTTTTTTTTTCTCAGCCATGGTTGTTGTCGTTGTCTTTCTGTACGATTTCATAATAGCTGTCCATAGTATAGTTGAATAGTAGGAAGTCGTATCTGAAAATAATAAATAATTTCTGAACACATTTAAATATTAAAATGCTACAAAAACGTATAATATTTTTTTATAACTTTTGACAGTTTCATTAACTCAATTTACTAAATCTATGACATAAGCTTATACTGTGTTGTCATATATAAAATATATAGCAAGAATTTGAATCTAAAATCTAAACGAAGCATGTTAAAGTATCATAAATTTTCGCCTAAAGTATATTAAGTAGATTCACAAAACGTGTATGGTAACATTATATAAGAAATGTTTATCGAAGCAGTATGTACGAAATAATATTGTCATATTTCTGCTTACGTATTGTAATCCGGTATATGAGTGAGTAGGTCTTTTCAATTGTGTTATATTCCAATAACATCAAACAATACATTTCATATTACTTGCTGTATCATCATAATATGATGGTTTAATAAAGTATTATGTATTATATACTAAATTTATATATTACTAGCAAAAGTTGTTTTGCCATATAAAAAAATAGAGGTTGGTGATAAAATTTTTGGGTTGTATGGTTTTTTGAAATGCTACATTATAGAAAAAAAATCGTCCAAAAATAAAAAACAATAAGCGTGAACAACCCTTATGACTTAGGGGTATGAAAAATAAATGTTGGCCGATTCTCAGAGCTACTCAATATGCTCACAAAATTTCATCAAAATCGGTCCTGCCGTTTCGGAGGAGTGCTCTATCTAAACACCGCGACACGAGAATTTTATATATAAGATAAGATATATCTATAATATTCAAAAGGATCGAATAATCTTTTACGACGTTTACTAAAAATATGAAGAGATTTAAATAGTAACAAGCTTTGAATTATATATTTTTTCTTTTTATAAAATTCTCCTTATTTTCTAAGTCCGTTTTATATCGATAAACTAGTTTCTGATAAGGCAAGGTTGAATAGAGAGCGCTAATTAAATCAAAGATTTAATTAGTCACTAATCACTATTAATAAACTTATTGTTTTTTAATATCGTTCAGAAACCAGGGAATTTTATTTGCTATATTCACCATATTCTCATATTTATTTATAACTAAAAAAACAAACAAAAATATAATCTATATAATATTTAGTGATAATTATTTTTTTCGAAGCAATAATTGAAATGTCATTGGTAGGACTCATCTAAACAGTTATTTCAAAACTTTAACCTTTTACCTTTAACTAGTAACTTACTTATACAGGTTGTAAAGGCCGTCCAGTTGAGATTTGTTGAGACGCGAGTACAAATGGTTTATATTGTGCAATGTATTGGTTCCCTTTCCGCTATTCCGCCATTCCGGTTTGATTATCTCTTGGAGACGAGCCATTTGTATCAAGAACTTTTGGTCTTCCTGTAAATGAATAAGTCTATAATACAATATGTAATTTATCGAATTTCATTGTGTAGACTGACATTTAAAACAAAGGAGCGTCAACTTAATTCCCTTAATAAGTTCATTCATAAATAAAGTGTTAAGTCGTAATAATTTAATAGTATAAACATTAATATATTATTACGATTTGATTTATTACGTACGGGAATATTATTAATTTGGTTTATATACGAATTACTTTTTTTTTATTAGAAAAATATTAAACTTCTATAATGATCACTACTTTGTGTCTGCATAAATGATTTCAAAATTGGAACGTTAATTTCCTTTCAGTAGATTGATCGCAATTTGCATGCGGCTTTTACGTAACAATCTGAGGTCATTTACAATTGACGGTAAAATCGTTTTGCAATGTAATTTATTCTTATTAATACATAAAAATCTTGATACTAATTTAATATTACTTCACTTTGATTCTTTCTGAATTATGAGAAATATAACATTAATTAGACGAGTTTTTTAAGAACAGGATCAAAACTTACATCGAGTGTTTCAAATTTGAGAATGATGTCGAAATTAAATTTGCACGGCGTACAGAAGTCGGTGTAGGGCGTCCAATGCATGTCACGTGTTCGTTTCATTTTCGTTTCATCCAAAACATAGGTAACGAATTCTTCAAACATCGGGTACCTCTCAGTTGGTGCGGATTTCTGATTCGTCTGATAAAGATGAAAAAGAGGTTTTATATAATATTATACATTATTAAGACATTGGCAGTTAAAAAGAAACCATTGTAGATACATACTACATATAAAAAAAAATAACGCGTAAATATAAATAATAGATGCAAAAGTCATATAGATATTATTACATTTGTAAAGTTAGTGTCGTTATTATTATGAGAAAATTTTGATTTATTAATAATTATTATATTTTTTATGCTTGCTTTCGAATATATGTTTTAAATTATAAGGTCCTACTTAATAAATATTCTTTTTTCTGCTTAAAATTATGGTTTTTGACAACTAATAAAAGCGACAGTGACAGTTTAACTTTATATTATTAACAAGTTGAATCCCTACTAATATTATAAATGCGAAAGTAACTCTGTCTGTCTGTCTGTCTTATTGAACCGATTTTAATGAAATTTGGTACAGAGATGAAGTTGACCTTGAGAAAGAACATAGGATAGTTTTTATCCCAGACTTTTGAAAAGCCTTCTAGGAAACGCGTTATAACCGAACTCCACGCGGGCGAAGCTGCGGGCGGAAAGCTAGTAAAAAAAATAAAGACGCTATTATTAACAAATTGATTTGATGTACGAAATGTATAAAAAACATTTGTTATACCGTTGAAAAGTGGAATTACAGCTCAAACACAATTAGCGTAAGAACTACAAAATGACTGCAACGTGTTTGTACATCAAAGTAGGTTAATTATAACGAAAATAATTGCAATTACTTATGAAATTGTTAATCATGTTTATATACTTTAGGTTTGTAAAAAATATGTGTATTTCTACAAAATTATCGTGAAATTATTAAACTGTACTTTATATAGGTCATAAGTCATAACAGTTGTTGTGTCTCAATGTTACGCAAATAGTTGGGTATTGCAATGTTTTGTTCACGTGGGAAATGAGTATATCTGATTGTGAGTTGTTTATTGGATGAATTGAATTAAAACACATTCTCACGACTATGGAAGACGGAAAATGGATCAGTTTTTATTGTTTATACAGGGTAACTGGTGAATTACTATCAATATTTAAGGAGAACACTCGGTACATGATTCTCATTCGAATTATGTAAAAAAATAGGTACTTAATTTTTTACCAAATTTCCGTATAAGTGTGTGTGTGTGTGTGTGTGTGTGTGTGTGTGTGTGTGTGTGTGTGTGTGTGTGTGTGTGTATACCTAATCTGTAGGGTGTTCACACGATGCGTAATAAATTACATAACTTTTGGTTAACTTTACTTAGAAGTTTATTAATATTTATGTTATATTAATTTTTATTTTGTTATATATGATCGTCAAATATCACGTCCTCAAGTATCGATAGTAATTCACCAGTCACCCTGTATATAAAATAAAGTATATAGTCAATATTGAACACAGTTAGGTTCAATAACCTCGAAGCTTTAACCATATTTGGATTAAAGGTAACACACTAACATGATAAGGAAATAGAACGGATATAATACCTTTCTATACTTCTTAATGATCCGCTTCCCCATTTGATCGTGAAAGGACTTGGGCCAGGCGTGTACGATTTTATCGTTGTAAGCTGAAGCCAGCCTCTCCAAAGGATGTCTAACAATCAGGAATGTAATTGAATCCCCCTGCGCCTTCCTAATCATTTCTACCGTCGGCCTCGCGTATTTCTTTCTTGCTAATTCTAAAGGAACTTCTTTCGTTCTATTCAAAAATGCAGCCGTGTAATTTGCCATCAAATTGAAGTTGTACATCCATGACGTTGACGCTGCTTTGAAAATGTTGCACCTGTAAAAAATATAACGTTCGAAATATTACAGATAAAAAATTTGTGATTAAAAAAAATTGTAAGGCTAAATTTAAATGTATACAGCCGAAATGTCTCACCATATAACGTGATACTGCCGATTGATCAAGTACTCCCACGCGTAGGCTTTATGACTTGAACTATCGAGGCCGAGTCTGGAACATTCGTTGCGTAGATACTCTCTCCTAGCATCCATACGACTGCCGACCTCCAGAAATTTATCCCGAGTCAAAAGCCCTTCATCATGACTCCCATTATCGAAGACATACTATAACAAAGAAATATCTGCTTTAATTTCGTAAATTGGTATCTAGACATGTTGATTTATTACTGCATTAAAACAAAATCACATTAATCAACACATTGTTTATATTTTTGGTTGTCGTGCAAGCATTTTTAATAAACTATTCTAATTATTACACCAAATAGTGAGTTAAGCGTAAGCCGCTTGTGAATCTATTTCTTTCGTAAGCTTTTGTTCTTGATATGTAAATATAAGCAGACTTATACATATGTGATGCTGACATCAATTTAGAAACTACAGAATAACATTTTATAAAAATTAATAACTCATTTAAACTGTATATAAATGTATACTTTTAATAAACTCAATATATGTTGTATGCATTGTTTTAAAGACGCAATACAATATGATTTTTCAAACTAATATAAGTATATGTAATTACGTTCGTTTCAACTCATTTAGTTTCGTCATAATTAATACGAAATATCAATCATAAAAGTTACATTAATACATATATTCTGAACTTCTATTCTATAGTTTCATACAGTGATCGCAGGTCACAACCCTCGTAATACCTCCACGTCACCGAAACACATTCGTTATGGTGTGATGTAAATTAGAAGTAATTAACCTAAACTAGGGTTGCCACGTAATTTATTTGCGGATTATTTCCTGTCACATAACCCTAAATTGCAATCCCAAGTGCTATATGCTACATAAATTACAATTACTAGTCCAAGATATAGAAGTAATATATTTGCAAAAATATGACTTAATTAAATCAAGTTTTGATTCATATAAATACAATATTTTTTTTAATGGAATATTTCAGAATTCAGAGCTAATTTTAATTAAAAAAAATAACCTGTCAAATTTATAATAATTTATTTTCTGACAGTTGGCGTCCCTAGCTCATTCGTTTCACATATGAATTTTTTGTTACTTGCACGCGACGATTTTAATTAACTCATTAACAACCACGAATAATTTATAAATATTTTAAAATATTATTACTGATGTAGACTTAATGTTTCTAGAACAACTTTCTATCGGACAAAGATATTATTGGAATATCAATTGATTTTCTTTGACGTCATATATGAAATTCAGTATAAATGTATAATTTAATTCAAATAGCCATTACGTTAAGTATAATTCGTGACACAGCTATATGGTAATCCAAGGAAACGATGTCTCTAAGCTTCTATTGTTCTAGCTCATTTTAATTCGTGCCACGACAATCGTATAGGCAGTCAGCTGAGTTCACATTAGTCGCCATCTTAAATTACAGATAATTTGAATGTTACATAATATATATTTTATATTTCATCATACTTAAATAATATTCATTATTTTCTTCTTCTACCTGGCAATTTCCCAGCTTTAGCCAGGGCCTTGCAGGTTGTGAATAGTTTTGGCTAATTGTTTTTACGACCGGCTGCCTGCCTGACATCAGCCCTCTTTGGGAATGCATTAATCTAATGTCTAAATACTCTTAGAAAGTACACATGACTCGGAAAAATCACATTAGTATTTGTCAGGGCCAGGAATATTCATTATTTTCTTATTCATATGAAATAATTTAAATTTAAACCTAACTTGTATGTTTATCGAATAATAGTTATCGCACGATTTAATAAGAATTTGAGGTCGAATATTTTTAGCTATAATTTCATATTACTAAAAAAATAAACTGTTCTCATTAAAATTGTTCAATTTCTCGATAAACGTTTGACGTAACGAAACTTGTTAATAAAAGTTACTGTTTGAAAAATGTTATTTCAAAGTTAATTCTAGCTTCACTCTATTTAAACCAGATAGCTTAAATATGATAGTAAAGAGTAAGACAGGCTTTTCGTCAAAGAAACTCAGAAAGGGTATTATTTAAGAAAAGAGTATTAAAATATAATATGTAGGTACAATCTTTCTTTAAATTTCGAAATGTACTCGTAGTTTGCGGGTAGGAGAAAAACAGTGAGACTAAAACTAATGTTTTGTAAATATTAAGATAATTTAATATATTTTATAGAGTACTCATTAAAATTGTAATTAAATTATAACTATTTAATAGGATGACAAATCCCACAACTCGTGGAATTGTTTTGACATCTGTCAACGGCATTACCCTAAGTTTGAATTGTCACTACATACGCAGCGTTAACTGTTTTACATTTATAAATTAAATACTATACTTTGTACATATTAACGTAAGTTATTGAATGAGAAACCGCTTTATTTGAAGTGTGACAAAGAAACGATTTTGAAACACAAAGACACTACGTTTTCAGAGCTATTGAAATATTAAAGGCTATTTTTATGCGCAATTCATAAACAAATTTTGGACTTTTATTATGTATTTATGTATATATGTATGTCCGTAATTATATATAAGGCTTTATTGCAATCGATCCATAAACCGAATCTCGTAATACTTAATATAATGGAAACACTCAAGAATTTACATCATATTAAGTATATATATATATGTATATGTATATATATACCTAGTTTCAATCTTGAATTGACAGTGAAAGTTAACTGTTTTCTTTATATTTGACTTTCCTTTTAGAAAGGCGATTTCATAAACCTAGAAAACAACAAACCTTTTTCGTTTAAAAATTAACTTTTTACTAAATTTTTATTTTTAATTGAATTATAATTGTAAAGCTTAGCTTAATTTTAAAGCCTAGTTATAGCAAGGAAATCTTTGCTTTATCTACGCTAGGTATTAAGATTTAAAAAGTGTAAATATAATACTTATATTTCCCCATTATTATATTATTATATAATAGTTTTAAAAAATACTAATTTTGTCTTAATTCTTGTACATAAAACCTTATTTATTTTCTGTGTATTTTTTTTTATATTATTCTGAAGCTGTGACGTTATAAGCAAGCAAAATGCAATTCCCTTTGAAGTTGTAGATTTTATATTTGAAAGCGTGTAATCTCTTTTGCTAGTCGCAAGTGTAAAATTGTTTCACAGTGACGCTGACAGCTTTTTTTATCTGTGTCGTTTATGATTTTCACGAGCTATGGTAAAAATATCTGTGCCAGTCTGAGCAACATTGACACTATTAATTAAACTGCATTTCAATGTCTCCCGCCTTTATTTATGCAAAGTTCGGCAGTGTGAAGGTTGTCAACTGTCAAGCTAAGCAGCTGTGTATTAAAAAATATATATATAAATCAAAAATTAAACTTATAAAAACAATTAACATAATTTATGTAATCGGTGAAAATAGGAAATTTAAATTCTTTTATTTTGATATAAGATTAAATAATGGCCAGATATTTATATATATTTTTTAAATAATATCAGTGTTGCCACTCTTCAATAACAATGTTGCAATAGAATGATAATAATTGAATATTCACGTCACTTCAAATGGATTTCTTTTATTAGCGTATATAATTAATTTACTTTATATTGAAAGGAACGTCCACTTATAGTTTGTTGTACCGCACCTTATTTCCCACGAAATTGACTGTCAGAATGTCAATTTCCTTGTAATGGATGGATGCGGCGCAAAAATTCAAACCCACCCACTTTTGTCGTTCGGTATTTTGTTAGAAAACTAGGTTGATGATATAGTACTTATATAATATATATAAAATTTCTTCGTAATCCTATCAAAAGAGTGATTAAGCAACTAGAAAATTTACGTAGTAATACATTTTAAATTAGTTTTCAATACTAAAACTGTACGTTGCAAAAGTATGTACCTATGCCCAAAATACGGCCTTAAAATTATTCAGTTACTGATCTTACGAAAGAAATTGTGTCTTAACTTAATATAAGTTTTATTGAGTAAAATTTATTAGAGTATAATTTATTATAACAAAAGTCGTATATATTTATATACAATATACAAATACAAGGTCTAGGCAGCCGCTAGTTTCCTTATATGACATATTTGATCTGCTAACCTGTCCACATATTAGGTTGATAAAATTTATTAAAATAACTTGTTCTTACGACCGTGACATAAAGATGTAGATGTCTCAACTTAAAACATTTTGGAGTACGATTTTTCTTGTTTCTTGGCTAGTTTACACGAAATCTCAACGTCATAAAGTTCATCCATAAGTGAAAAGTAATAAATGGGTAGTAGTTTTATTTGAGTCATACTTCGAAATTATATTTTTAATATTAAGTATACTATATAAGTTTATACTTATTACACCAATATATTGAAATAAGCGTAAGTACTACATAATACTTAATTGTATGATTTGTCGACTTCAACAACGTTAGTTGTGTATTCAATAATACGTGTTGGTGATTCGATAGACGTATAAAGACAAGCGTTAAATGTTCAAATATAATCTTCTTTAAAAGTCAACTTGTACTATTTATGTTTTGTTTTCGCATATTTTAAAAGTAACTTTTATCTGATCATAAAGAAAGTTCTTGATTCAAAACTATAGGAAGTCAATTCAATAGTCTATGTATTCACAAGAAAAGGGATTAATAGATAGAAATTTAAATTAATTTCATCAAGTGTTTGCAAAGAATTTTCTATTTCGCGTATTACAAAGCCGAGCCAGCGGATTATGTTACACCGTAACTTGTTATATTTATTGATAGAACAAACACTGTCATCAATCATATCTCCTAACTGTTTACATAACAGTGTAAATCGACCTTAATTTTCTAGAAATTACATGAAAGTGCGGACTCATAATGTATGAAACATGCGTGGATGTGTGATTGATGTATCGAAACGAGAACTCAATGCTACCAACCTTCAAGTGTGTAACATAAACAATAGTACCAACATGAATTATTATTATAACAGTTTTATTATGTTCTTGATTTATCTCTATGTCATTTTAAATGTTTATGTGATGAATGCGAATGATTGACGTTGGTGATAAAATCTGCCAAAAAAGGAGTCTTCGTGTAATATATAAGATTTGTAATATAAGAACTATTCAAAATTTAACAAAATGTATTGTTGTTATATGTAGAAAAGCTTGTAAGTATGATAAGATTTTGTGTAACTTTGAAGAAATAGTTGA